TAAAAAAGTTAAAAATTATTTTTTAAAATTTTATTAATTATACCTTAAATAATTAACTATTTTAATATTTATTCATAAAGCGCTTTATTTTTTAACTCACTTAATTTTTTTAGGTTAATTTATTAATATATAAACTTTTTAAATATTACCTAGGTAAGTAACTTAGTAAGTAAATTTACTTTATATATTATTTTCATTATATATTTTTTAAACTTTATTTATTAAATATATAACTTTACTCACTTTAGTGCTATATTATATAAAAGCTTTATTAAATATATTCCTAAATTTATTAAAAAAATATTTTTAGTTTCATTAAGTCCTTACTATTAAGAATTTTAATATTTAGGGGTTTTCATTTTTTTAGCCTAGGGTTACTTTATAATAATTATTATATTAATATTTTAATAATTTTATTTTTAATAAATATTTAAGGTTATTTATATGCTTAGTCTTAATTAAGTAGTGTTTTACTTATAGTGCTATTATTATTATTTTAGCTTAATAAATTAAATAGCTTTTTTAAATTTCTGGTGGGTAAAAATAGCTTATTTAGTTTTTAATACTTTTTAATTTACTAAGCTATTTACTTGCCCTTATCAAGCTCTAGTTTTAATAATATATTTTATTATAATATTATAATAAATAGCCTAGCTATAAGTATTCCTTAAATAATATTCTTAATTAAAATAATATTTATTATAATATACTAGGGGTTAATACACTACATAAAATTTTTAAAAAGGTAAAATAATAAAAAAAAATTTAGGCCTTACGTATTAAAAGGGGTAAGTTATTTAGTTTATTATTTAAGTTAATAACTTTAATAATAAGAGTATAATTAAATATTAATAATATAAATTTAAGTAAAAAAAGTAGTTTTAAAATTTTTATACCTAAGTTTATATTTTAGGGACCTTAAGTAAAATAGCCTTTATTTATTTTTATTTATTTAAATATTTAATTTAAAGTACTATATAAATAATATTTCAAAATTAATAAAAAAGTAATTTTAATTATAAGGGCGCCCTAGTACTTAAATAATTTTTATTAATAATAATAAAGCTTAGTAAAGTATTTTAACTAATAAAAATAAAATATTTAAAATCTTAATAAATTTAATTAAAAAAGTTACTTAAAAAACTATATATATTATAGCCTTTAATTCTTTTATATAAGCCTTATTTAAAGGCCTTAACCCTTTGAATAATTTTTTAAGTTATTTTTATTTAAAAAATAAATAATATTTAAATATTTTAATATTTATACTTTTTATAATTATTTTTAAATTATTAAGGTAATTTAGTGCAGGGCATGCCTTTAATTTATTATTTAAATAATATTTAAAACCTAAGGCCCCTAAGCTAAGGTCCCTAGTTAAAGCTAATATTATATTAAGTTTTATATAATAATTTATAATAATAATGTTTATTAAAGTAAATAAATGCTTAAAATATCCTATACTAGTAATATTAATACTTTATAATGGCGTGACCTAGGTGCCTTAGGCATTGCTTAATAGCATAACCCGGATTAATGTTAGCCCTGACAATATTTGGTAATAATACACTAGGGCATTTTTAAGTATTAAAAATAATTATAAATAGTTATAAATAAACTTAGGTATAGCTAAAAATCTTTTTAAATTTTTCTAATGCTAATAGGTGTAATTGGGCTACAAGTAAAATAAAGACAAGTAAATAAAATAACCGCAGTTATTATAGAAAATATAGAATTTATATTTGCTTTAGCGTTAGCAAGGCCTTTTTAAAAAATATAAAACTTTATATGGGCTTGCTACCTAATTTTTTATTAAAATATTATTTACTAGCCCCTGGGATGAAATTTATTACCTAGTTATTATATAAAATAAAAAGTTTTTTAAAAAAAGTAATTGAAACTATAAGACATGTTTATATATTATACTAAGCTTAAAAAAATATAAATTATTATAATAAAAAAGTATTCTATATTTAAAATAGGAATTAATTACTAATTTTTTAAGTTAAAGTTTTATATTAAACTTAATATTTTATATATTATATAACTAACCTCTATCTTAGCGTGTGGTTAGATTAGCACTAAAGTTTCTTTATTAGGCAGCCTTAGGCTGCTAGATTATGTTATTATAACACTATATAATAATAATACTATAGCAGTGATAACATATTATAACTAAAATACTTATATATAATTATATAAAGGGTAGGAAGTATTAATATTAGTATATTAATAAAAAGGTATTTCAATTTTATAATACTCTTAATATTACCCTAGTTATTAATAAGCTATAAAATATTTTTAATACTATTAATATTATACATGTGGGAGCAAATAATTTATATGTTTATAAAAATATTACTATTTTAAAAATAGCTTATAATATATTTAAAGTAGGTATTATAAAAATTATTATAGCTAATGATATATAAATAACTAACTTTAAGGGTTTAGTTATATTTTTATTTAACACTACTTTGTAGGCCAATACCCCTTTTAATAAGAATAATAATATTTTATATACGTTAATCTTTGCTTTACAATACCATCATATTTTAGTTTATTAACTTATTATGGCTATTTTTATTGAAAGTTTTAACTTACTTTTTACTATTACTTTAATACCTATATTTTGTTATGCTAGCGCGGCTTTAGCTACTAAGTATATATTTATATATTTTAATTTACCTTATATTATATTACTAACCCCTTTATAAATTTTTATTATTTTTAATACAGGGCTTGCTGGGCTTTAGCGCGATTAAAAGTTTTTATTAAAGTAGTACTTATATTTAATATGGGGGTTAGTGCCCTAGTAGGCTTGGTAGTAATTTTATATATTTTAGGTCTTGTATACCGCGTGGTTTAGTTGCTTGTTTAAGTTTTTTTTTTATTAAAAGGCCCTGCGGGCGCTGCTAATCCGTAAAAATAAATTCTTTTTATAATTCTGCGTAGGTTATAGGTGTAAATATTGATAATTAATATTTTTTTACTTTATATAATTTATTTTTATAAGTTTTTTTTTTAAAAAAATTCCTAGATACCGCGGTTTTAGCTATAAAGGTTTTTAGTTTTTAAATATTATTTTTTATATTATTTTACTCTTGCTATTCTATAATGGATTATACCTTACTCTTAAATTTATAAATATTAAGAATTTTTTAACAAAATATTCTTTCTTATTGGTTACTAGTATAAGGCTAATATTTAGTGCTTAGCATAGGTTACTATAATAAAGTTTTAAAAATATAATATAAGAAATATTATATAATTAATATGTATTTAATAAGAGTAGTAGTTTATAAAACTATTTTTCCTATTTTATAATTACTAAAGAAGGCTAATAAGTATCTTACTTTATTTATAGTTCAGCCTTGTAAAGTTAAGTTTTTTATATCAAGTATAATATAATCAATAACTTTGAAGTTTATTTTCTTACATTTTTTCTTGTATTAAATAGCTATTACCTTTTTTTGATTTTCGCATCTATTTTTTAGGATTATATAATTTTTTTAGTTTAAATTACTTTAAAATATTTTTGTTAATAACAAAAACTAGTTTTATAATTATTTATTTTCATAAATTTATTACTACTAGGTAGTTTGGCGGAGGTAGCCTTATTTTATTATATTTAAACATTAATTTTATTTAAATATATAAAGAATATTTTTTTTAAATTTTTACATATAGCTGGTGAACCAGCCACTTAATAATATAAACTCATACTTAAATTTTCTATTTATAAATTAAATTCATATCTAAATAAAGTATATATTAAAAATTTTATTATATATTTATTTTAATGTATTATTACTTTGTAACAAGTATATTTAGTTATATATTAAAATATATTAGTTGAAAATAAAAAAAAACATTAAAGTTTAACATATATTTATCTAATATATTGTCTAAAATAATTTTTAATAAATTTTTAATTTGAAATAATATATAATATATTCTTAATAAGTAATTATATTTTATTAATATTTTCCTATGTTTATTATATATATAAATTTTAAAAAAATATTATAATATTATAATTACTTATTATACTATTATAATACTATTCTAAATCACGTGGTTATAATAAGACTATACTAACTCCACCATATTCCCAAACCAGCCAACGGCGGGATGGTGATACAGTTCCAAGGATCCGGTGTGTTGGATCTTGCGGAGAGCTGGACGTGCATGTTGCCTCTGTTTGACTGCCATGGCACCTCGCTATTTCTCGGAATTAACTTAGCTGGTAGCTTTTACGAGCGTGTGGTTGTTTGATATCAATAAACAGTAATTGGAATAGGATTCGTGCAAAGCAGAGACTATTAATCTGGATCGGCAAATTAGTGGTCAGTACGCCCTGCGGTCACTTGGTCATAATTCAATAACTTAACATTGCTTTTGTGTGAGTACACATGACAGACGCTAACATTTAACCGCGGGACGTGAGATATCCACGCTGCCTACCATACTGGGCGAGAGTAAGTACCGCTAGACTTCCACCGAGGAGATCCATGCCGTCATACAGGCTCGTACATGGGTTCCAAACCCGCCGACTCCTATTGGAATGCTCGGGTTAACTTCACATTGCTTTTGTGTGAGTACGCATGACAGACGCTAACATTTAACCGCGGGATGTAAGATATCCACGCTGCCTACCATACTGGGCGAGAGTAAGTACCGCTAGACTTCCACCGAGGAGATCCATGCCGTCGTACAGACTCGTACATGGGTTCCAAAGCCGCCGACTCCTGTCGGAATGCTCGGGTCAGCAGCTGTAAAGTTAATGGAATAAAGCCACTAGACACGAATCTTGGAAAGGCTGCTCCGAGCATTGCGCTTGGATGCCGAGAATCCTAGCAGTATATTTTGGAATACTGGATATAAAGGAGAACGCACCCAGCACATCTGTTAGAAGAATCTGACTCCCCGCACCTCCCGTGTTGGAAATCCATTAACCCATCATCTTGCAACACCCACCTACCATCCCTACTGCAGCCATGCGTCCCTCCCTTCTCCCCACTGCCCTTGCCGCCTCCCTGGCTCCCATGTGCCTTGCCCAGTTCCCGATAACCGCAATCTCCAACGGCTCGACCGGGTTCATCTACCCGGACAACGATTATCTCTGCATTGGTAACGCCCGGGGAGAGGTAGCACTTGTGAACGCACCGCTGCGCTGTGCAAGCTTCACAGCCGACGAGAACGGGTGCCTGACGGCTCTTATTGAGCCCTGGGAACCGGAGTTTGGCTCCCATGCTGTTGTTGTTGACCCCGACGCACCACATCGGCTTAGGTATGCCGATGGGTGTGCTTCCGGTGCGGGGTGGGCGGCCTTCGGCGACGTGAGTCTTCCCACTATCGAATCCTGTGTCTGTATTCGTTGTCCTGGACTAACAAGCGTTGTATTCCTGCAGGAATCGAGCCTAGATGGCGTTGTCTACGCCGGCCTTGTCTGGTTCACCGAGCAGGGTGGGGAGCGCCGCGTTGCCTACGGCCCGTCGTGGTCGGTTGTCAATGAGAACGGTGCCCAGTTTCTCCAGGGTGATCCTGTGGACGGTGAGGCCGGCGTTACTTTGGAGCTGAGGGGTTCATAGTATTATGCTGAAGCTTCCTTTTGTTGAGATATGGGCCTTTTGAAGTCGTTGGGTTGCCGTCAACGGCAAATCTCTACTACAACCGTTCGCCCTGTTTGGAAGTTGGGAATTCAACATTGCCACTCCAGGAAGGGTATTCCACAGAAAGGCCATTGGCTAAGATTGCCTTTATGTATTTAACTGCGGTAGCCTCCCATCTTGTTGAAATATTGCTGTTTGGATAGCTTCATGTTTAAAAATATGGTTTATCCGTTGATCTCATCTCTCTCTGTCTGACTCACTGGACCCCTAGACTACGAAACCTCACCAGGCAAAGGCCTGCTATTTATAATCCAGATAGCGTCTACAATGCTCTCGTGTACTGCGGGCATGCTCTAGCGCCGAAACTTCAACACAAACCCCTTGACTTGTGCAGGATGACCTACCCAATTCAGGGCAGAAACCCACCAGACTGGAAGAATTTGGGAAATGAAAATCTAGGTCCATCACCAGCCATAAGAGCCTATAAAGCAGAAGGCGCGGCGATATCAGTCAGAATATTTCCATGCTCTAGTCATTCCTCACCACGCAACCCTTCCAGCTACTGAAAACCATGCGCCCTTCATTCTCTCTGCTGCCCTCGCCTTCCTCGCCCCCGTGTGCATCGTTTAACGCAACCAATAAACTCCCACATAGCATAAGCAAAGTAATCTACAGCCACAGCGGTAGAAACTACATCTATGCGCGGCAATCTTATTCAGGCTGGTTAGCCCAACAAGTGTGCTTCATAGCCAACAGCTACGCGGGCGGGTGTCGAAGGGCTCCAACCTTGGCAGACAAATCCTCTTGCCTTTATCAGGGTTCTTCCACTATGCTTCACTTACTTTGGCTAGTGCTGGGATATAAAACTTGTTAGAAAAGCTGGAATATATAAATTTTATAAAGCATTCACGCGACCATACAATCTTGTTACTTCCATTGCTATATATAAATATTATAAGTATTTTATGCATTTTTGTAGTCAAAGTTGGGGTTGGATTGTATGTCCATCTGGACATAGGGAGTACTCACAGTTCTTATTCTGAGTGGCCTTCATACAATTTGTACCCAGTATCACCCTTTATACTTTCTGCATGGTACCATGTACGTGCCTGGTGGGAGTGGCCGAGTGGGCGGTCACAGGGGCCTTATATACTAAGGCCGTGGGTTCGAATCCCACTCCTACCAACAAACAAACTCCCACGTTGAAATTTGGCCTTTTTATATAAAGAGGCCTTGATAACTACGCTCCCCCCGGAGCCACGACCTCCAGCCCCCCCCCCTAGGGGCTTTTACACCTTCGCGCCTTCTTACCCGCTACCCTAAGCCCTAAGAAGGCCTTGAACCACCAAGTCTTTCTCGGTTAGGAAGACATAACCTCCGCGCCTTATTAAAGGCCTCGAAATCCGCGCTCCCCCTGAGCCTCGACAAACAGTGCAAACGGCCATACGTAGGGACGGTTGCACATAACAACCCACGAGAATTCGCGAGTGGCTATCTGGGCAATGGATATTGTTAAGGGAACTTAGAATTAGGGGAACTTTGGCCTGTATCTATATCTATCCTAGCGTCAGCCCGCCTCCATACCCCAAGGGAGGTTGGGAAAGGGTGTCAAACCAGCCTTAGTACCCCCGAGGCGTTAAATATCACTACTACTACTACTACTACTACTACCATGTACGTGCTGCGGATCCGGTGTATGAATTAGAGATGCATAGGGTTGCCATGGTGCCTTTCTTGTTACTGGATCCTACCTATGTATACTTGATGATGGAGCCCTCTCTTCGCTCAGGTACAGATGCCATGTGTCGCTAATGCAGCTATTGAATGCTCATTGAGTCTAAAGGGCGGAAGCACACAATCACACATAGACTTCAACGTGCATTTTTTAAAACCACCAATAATCTTAGCACACAAAAGTCCTGCTCTATCATAACCAAAACGCCGCCATAAAAAAGATCATCCTTGTCCACATCCAATGCAACAGACATTAAAGGTACTTAACAGCAACATGCCCATCCATCAAACTACCCAAATCCTCAATAAACACACTCGCAACCACAGCCGCTACCCCAAACCCAATGGAGATAAACCACACCCTCTCAAACGCAAGCCTAAACGCCTCCACAATTGCCGGCCGGATGATGGCCACCTGCTCCGGGCTCACCTGGTCCGCAACCGTCCCAATCCACTCCTTCCACGGCGTCGTCACAAGCGTCTCCATCATCGGCGCCAGGAGCTCGAAGTTATAGAATTTTGCTTCCAGCGCAGCAGGCACGACGTGGCTGTACGTGTTCTTCACCAATGCAACCGTGAACTGGTTGAAGAATATACTTGTCCCAATGACCTGCCCCACAGCGCGGAGGCACGCCGTTAGACAGGTTGCTGTTGCGAGGAGATCATCTGGGCAGATGACTGTCACGATGATCTGGTTGGGGACGAGGACGCCGCCGATGCCGAGGAGGCTGAAGATCAACGGCGCCCAGGCGGTGTTGATGTCGGAGGTTTTTATGGCGGCCATGCAGCCGATTCCTGTTCACGTCAGCGGTCTTAACCTTGGTTATTTGGGAAGGACACAGCGGGCGTACCGATAACCTGTACAACGCAGAAGGCCGTCATGATGAGCCGCAGGTGGCTCTTGAACGCCGAAATCAAAATGGCAGAGATGATTGCGCCGCCGACGATACAGAACCCGTATGGCATTGTGCGGACGCCCAGCTCGACCTGGTCCGAGTCGTACACGCTCACGGCCTCCAAGACCCAGAAGATCAGCAGCGCGACGTAGTTGATGCCCGCCAGCAGGATGACGACCATGAGCGCGGTGAATGTCCTCGGGTGTCGGAGTAATGTCGACGGGAACATAGGGTACGCCGCGAAGAACTTCTCGTACGCGAAGAACGCGAGAAGCAATGCGATGCCTAGTGTCAGGAACGCAATGACCTTCCCGTCGTTCCAGGGATACTGCTGCCCGCCCCAGTTGAGCGCGATGAGAAGGAAGACTAGCCCGCCTGTCATGATCAGCCCGCCGATAAAGTCTATCCGCTTGACCTTCTCTATCCACGTTAAACCGGCGGTGTTCTCCCGCGCAGGCGGGTTATAGAACCACCAGATAACACCCGCCGTCAGGAAGTTCCACACCGCAATCAGACACGCACAGTACCGCCAGTTGTGCTGCGCTATCAAAGCCCCATACAGACTGCCCGGCGCGAAGGGGAGGAAACTCGCTACCACAATGGCGATGTAGTACCCGCGGTACTGAGTGGGCACAATCTCCGCAATGGCCGCAATAGCCATGAGTTCCTGGATCGCCATCCCAATCCCATTGAATATCTGGCCAGCGAGATACCCTCCTGCCGTGGGACTCGCGGCGCAAAGAATCATGCCGAACATGGCGGAGAGGATGCCGGCGATCGTGATTGTTTTGCGGCCGAAGAGGTCGGCTAGTGAGCCTGCGAATGGGGCGATTACACCGGTTGCAATCTGCTGCGTGCATGTGAACCAGAAGAGGAGGTTTGAGGCGCCGAAGGAGGCGGAGACGAGGGGGAAGATGGAGGCGAAGAGGAGAGGCTGGATTTGCGAGCCGACGAACGACATGCCAAAGCCGGCGAGGACGCCGATGAATTGGATGTTTGTGAGCTGGTTTATTCATGCTTGTTAGGCTTCCTTTGTTTGATGAATGAGAGCGATGGATATGGTGTGGTGTACCTTCGGTCGCTGACCATAACTAATCTCGCCATCCTCGGCCGTATGCGTGCGGTTGATGCTGCCCTCCTCGCTCGCGCATTGCATCTGCACCTGCGTCTCTTCTGTCTTGTCGGTGCCCATTTTGCCTATGTCGCGCAGCGGAAAAGGCTAGGTAAGTGAGCAGAGTGGTTAGACGAGACGAGCTCGAGCCCGGGGTTCAGGCTCGGATTTTATTTAAGTATATCACGCGGTGAAAAAATTAGACATGGGGTAAAACAACCAATTGTTCCAGTTGCAGCGTCCCAAACATGGCTCGTTCCATGTAGTTTTGGTTCGCAGCGCTTGCCCAGTTCGTGCTTGATCCGCGGCACAGTGTGCCCTGTGCGTCGATCCCTCGGTCTCTACCGAGATATCAAACATTTGGCTGCTGTTCCACGCTGAGTCTAAAACACTCCGATCCAGTCCTCGGTTGGGGTTTTTGCATGGATCTGAAACAGGTGGGCTTATCATAATTCTACGATCCGGCCCCTGCGTCAATTTGTGTTGAACCAGTCCACGCAGTGTGTATCATGTTTGCATCATATCAGCAGGGACCGAGAAGTGCCGCGTCCTCGGTTTAAAAATAGTAAAGGATATACTGTACTCTGCGCAAGACCTAAAGCTTGGACCTAAAACGCGTTAGATTTGTACGTACTACGTACGTGGGGTAGGTTGTGCCCTCTACCTACGCCGGCTTCAATTGGATGCGGAATGGCACACAGCAAACGTCCGGGGTATACAATCGACGAAAGTCCATTGGAACCTTAGGTATCGGTCAGTAGTACTTCAAGCACGTATGGATTATGCTTGAACATCTTTCAAGCCATGCCCCGTCCTCCATGCCCTTGCTGGAAGTGGGTGCCTGAGGCCACCGGCGGCCTTAGGCCTCCGGTGGAGGAAGGTTCTTCTGGCCTGAATGGCTACTATAAAACTTTTTATTTATCCCTAGAATATCTAGCTTAGTAAACTATGTAATATAAAAGACTTTTATATATAATAATTATTTATTTTTTTTAATAAGTTATAAGCCCGGGTTTACTTAACTTATATACTTAATTAAAAGTTTTTTTTTTAAGTTAACCTATACTAATTAAATACATGGTATTTTTTTATTTTATTATTTAACTTTATTATTTTTAACTTTACTAGTTATTATAATAATTAAAAAGCTTTATACTTAGGGCAAGGCCTTTATTATAAAAGTATAAATATTATAGCTTTATTTTTTTTTATTTTAAATTTTTTATTTTTTTTTACCTTTTTAATTAGCTTTTAATTTTATAAACACCTGCTTTTTAGGGCCACACGCATTTAATTTTTTAATAAAAATAAGTTTCCCTTAGTGGCTAAAAAGTTTTAAAACCTTTAAAGGTAGTATAACACCTTTAGGTTTTTTAATTTAAATTTTAACTTTAATTACTTTTTAAAAATTTAAACTAATTTTTAAATATTTAACTAGCTATTTTTAATTACTAGTTTTTTTTTTTTATAACTATTCTAGCATAGGCTTTAGCCTATTTAACTTTAATTTTATTATAGTAACTTTTTAGGGCTTATTATTCTTAATTATTTTAGGTTTTTAATTCCTAAGTACTTTAATTCCTAGCTCCTAAACTACTTTGATTTTTTTGTTATTTAGTTTTTTTATATTTAGTTTTTTTATATCTAGTTTTCCTACACCAAGCTAAGATAAAAAAATAACCTTAATTAAAGTAAAGAATATCCTAGTTTTAATATTAAAAAACTAGTAAGTTAAATAAAACTAGCAAGTATTTTTAAAGTTTTAAAAGGCTAGTTATAACTATTTTTTAAAGTAGCTAAATTAAAGGCACCTTATAAAAACCCTTACTAATTTTTTTTTATTATACTAGCTTTAGTAGGTAAAGATATTAAAACCTTTAGTTAATAATTTATTATAAGCTAAGCTAAAAATATAAGTATTAATAATAAAGTTTTAATTATTACTATACTTTTTATATAATCTCCTGCTTAGCTTATTACTAAGGCTATTACTAAGCTTATACCCCTGGTAAACTATAATAAGGCTAAAATTTAATAATAAAACTAAAATTATACCATGGCTTTAATTTTTAGTTATTTAAGTTTTAATTTATAAAATTTTTTTATTAATAAATAAATAGTTTATAAGCTGCTTAACAAGATTAAAAGCTATTTTAAACTTAATATTAATATTATAATTTTTAAAGCCTGGGCTAACTTAATATCCCTATTTTATAATAAAAGTATTTTTAACCTTAGTAAAAAACTTAAAAAAAATTTAGCAGGAATTTACCTATATTAATATTATTTTTTTAGCTAAACTTATTATTACTATCTTTTACCAAGCCCTAGGTAATTAATTTAATTATTTTAAGGCTATATATTTTAATAACCATGTTATTAAATACCTTTTAAAAAATATTATTATATTAATTACCTTTTTAAATAACTTTATAATTACTACTAAGTTTATTAAATTAAACTAAAATTAGGGCACCGGCACCCTAATACTTTTTTTTAATAAAATATTTATAAAGCTTAATATAAAATGCTATAAAAATTATTTTAATATTATTTAAATATATAAAAATAAGGGTATTATAAATATTACCACATGCTATTATTTTTATTATAACATGCTATTTTATAATTAAAAAATCTATTATTAACTTTATTTTAAGCTTAAAACTATTTAAAAAAACTTTTAGGGTAGCAAGGGCGCTAAGCACCCCTAAAAAAATTTTAAATTTAAAAAAAATATAAAGCTTATGCTTAAGCTAGTGCTTATAACTTAAATTAACTTTAATTTTAAATAAAAAATTACTTAAAATAGTTTTATTTAATAAATTACCTTAAATAATAACTATATATAATATATTACTTATAATTACTTTTTATTTTAAAATCTTAAGCCTTATACTAGCCTTAATATTAAAAATATTAATTTTAAAGTTTTTAATATTTAAGGTATTAATATTATTAAAATTTTTTATTATATTAATAGCTAGCTTAAAATCCTGGCTTTAAATAATATTTTATATTACTTAAATATATTTTTTATATTAATTTTTATTTTTTAGCTATTAAATAAGCGCTGCTTAGTTAGCTTTAACTAGTAAAATATAAAAGTTAAAAAGTTATAAAATATTAATATTATTATCTTATATAATTATAAATTAGCCTAGTACATGGCTACTAAAGTTTATAAAGTGTTTTTTTTAATTTTTACTAGGGCTTAGTAATGCCGGCCATTTTAATACTAGTAATTTTTATTTTTTAAAATAAATTTTTTTAGCTTTAATATTAATAAATAGGCTATATTTTTAAAAATTAGCTTAATAAAATAAAAAAGGTAGTTTATAGCATGCATATACCCAAGGGCTATATTTATAAATTTTATATTATTATATATTAGTAGGCTAAGCCTTATAAAGGTATTATAATACTTATTAATTAATTATTTAAATTATTTTATATAAATATTTTCAGCCTATATTTACTTTTATTTAATAAAAAGGTATATATTAACTTTATTATAAATAATAAATCTTACTGCTACTAGGTTATAATACTAGCTAATAAAAATAAATTTATTACCTAGGCTTTTTTTATTATTTACTAATATAATATACCTAAGCTCCTGCTACGCCGCGTACACTATAATTAAAAAAAAAGAATATTTATAACTTATAATACCTTATTTATAGCTTTAAAGTTATTATAAAAACCTTTAATATAAACTAGTATAAATAAAATAGCTATGTTAAAGTACTTATTAATAAGCTATTTAGCCTTATATAATTTATACTACATGATACTAAAGCCTTAGTTAACATGTGGTTTAAGTTTTATAAAAATACTAGTTATTTATATAATTAAACTTTATATTTTATATTAAATAATATTATATTATTTAAAGCCTAATATAACTATTAATTAAATATTTTTTATATTTATATTTTTTAGTTTAAGGTCTATGTTTTAAACCCACTAAAAAAGTAAAAAAAGCTTTATAAAAATAGTAAAACAAAAGATTAAAAGGCTAGTTAGCTTTAATAAAAAAATAAATAAGTTATACTAGGTTTTTTTTAAATAAGAGCCACATAGTTTTAGTATATAATATTAATATTATTAAAAATTATTATATTAAGCTAAATTTTTTAAAAGTAACTACTTTAGCGTTTTTAAAAACCTTTATTTTTAAGGCTTTAGTGCCTTTAGGAACCTTTATCCCCAAGGCTTTACCTTTTTTAAGGATTTTTATTTTTAAGGCCTTATTTTTAAGCCCTTTAGGGATTTTTATTCTTAAAACACTGCCTAAAGCTTTAAAACCTTTAAAAATCTTTATTTTTAAGGCACCTAAAGCTCTAGCTTTTTTAAAAATCTTTATTTTTAAAAACTTACTAGCTAACACTAACCTAGATACTAAAGGGAACCTTAAAAATAAATTTTTAAAAAGCCTAGTTTTTAAAAATCTTTTTAGGTATGTAAATCCTAAGAATCTAGTAGTAAACGCTATTAATTTAATTATTAAAATTAATATATTTTTAAAAAACTTAAATTTTAGCTTTTATAATATTAACTTAATATATTATACATGCGCCTAGGCTACTATTAATTTTAAAAAGGCTTTTTAAATTTTAAATAAGCTAGCTTATTTATTTTATCCTTAAAATATTATTAAAGCCATGTAAAATAAGATTACCTTAATTAATAAATTTTATTTAAATAACTTTTAAATACTAGTTAATAAGCCTAGCTTAAATAATATTTTAATACTAGCTATAATATTTTATAAATAAATTTTTAAAAAAAAATAAATTAATAGTTTAGCAAGCTAAGGCTAAAGGTAAATAAAATAAGTAATTTAAAAGTATATAAAAAAAATATAATTTTTTAATGAAAAATAAAACCTGGGATCTTGTTAACTTGCCTTTTAAAAAATACTTATTTTTTAATAAATAGGTTTTAAAAGTTAAAAAAAAAACTAAAAAACTAAATTCTTTATTATAAAGCTTATTAGGTAGTTTATAGTTTTAAGTAAGTTTATAGGCTTAATTATTATAAAATTTTTACTAAAGTAATAAAGCTAATAAGCTATAAGCTTTTTTTTATTATTACTACCGCGCTAGACCTTAAAATTAAGTAAATAAATATAAAAATAGCTTTTTTATATAAAAATATTAATATTATAATTTTTATTAAATAGCCTTACTTTTTTATTAATAGCTTTAAGCATGTTTACTAGCTTTAAAAGGCTTTTTATAGCCTAAAATAAGCACTATGTATTTAATATTAATTATTTATAGATTTTTTAGCTATGTTAGGCTTTTATTTTATTTATTTAAACTTAGGAGTCTTTACTAATAGTAAGATTTTTATTACTATATATATAAATAATTTCTTGCTAGTTAGTAAAAATAAAGCCTAAATTTAAAAAATTAAAAATATTTTAAGCAAGCGCTTTAAAATATTTAATTTTAGCTTTTATTATTATTATTTTAGTATAAAAGTTTACTAGGATTAGGTTAACTAAATACTTTAACTTTTTTAGCTTGGCTATATAAATAAGATTTTTTATTAATTTAGTATAAATAATTTTAAAATTTATAATATATTAATAAATCCTTATTTAAAGCTAGAGCCCGCTTTTAAAAAGTATATAACTTTAATAAATATTTTAAAGTAGTACTAAAGCGTTATTAGGTTTTTAATATATTTTATATTAAGAACTTAGGTTAATATTACCTACCCTATGTTTATTTTAAGCCGCTTTTTTATTAAACCTATAAAAAAATATATAGTAATTATTAAGCACATGTTTTACTACCTTTAGGGCTTTATAAATTATAAACTAGTATTTTTTAAAAATTTTTAACTATTAATTAACTATATTAATATTAATTAGGGTGGTAACTTAAAAATATACTATTTTATTTTTAAATATATATTTTATATAAGTTTTATAATTATTAGCTAGTTTTTTAAGTGTTAGCCCACCATGGCTTTATTTTTTTTATAAAGCTAAGTATATAAAAAAATATAAATTATTAAAAAGGCTATTTAGCTTTATTACTTGCTAGGGAAGCTTATAAATACTTAAAAAGTAAATCCTATTATTATTATAATTTATAGGAATAATAAAAATATTATAGCACTAGCTAGTAATCCCTAGTTTTATGCCTAAAGTAAATATATTAATATTTAGCACTATTTTATCCGGGAAAAAAAGGTTAAAAATGTTATTAATATTTAGTTTATTCCTATTAAAAAATAAATAGTAAATAGCCTTATTAAGCTACTAGGGCTTAAAGTATTTAAATACTTTAAAGTTTTATTAAAAAAAATTTTTAAGCTTATGTAAGTGGGTTTTCTAGTAGTTTTTATATTAAAATTAGCCTTTTTTATATTAAACTTATAATAACTTATGTATTATAAAATTATATTTAATTATTTTTATTTTTAACTTATTATTATTTTATTCTTATTTTTAAAAATTAACCTTATAGTAAAAATAGTATAATATTACCTTATTTTAAAATCTTACCTTAATTTTATATAATACTTTAATTATAATATTAAAAGTTAATATATTTTTAGCTTAATTTAATAAAATTCTTAGTGCTTTTTATATTTACCCGCGGGAGATTTTATTTTTAAATATTAAAATATAGGCTTACTAGCGTGGCCGGCTTATTAATTATTTTAATTAAAATTTTTATTTAGTATTTTTTAGGCTTTAAAGCACGGCTGTATCACGTGGCTAGTAGCCTTTAAAATTTTAAAACTTTTTTAAATTAAGTAGCTAAATAATATTATTAGCTTTTAGTATATATAGGCTATTATAGTAATTTTATTTTTTAATAAAAAAAATATTATTATTTAAAACTATAATTTTTATTATAATTCCACTAGCCTACGCCTTAAGGACTTTATATTTAAGGCTTTATTATATTTATTATAGTTACTAGGCTAATATTATACCCTTTAAAATATATAATATTATACTAGTATTAAATTTTTTAAAAAAAATTAATACCTAAAATATATATTTTAATAAATTTAATATACTATTATACTAGGTAATTTACCCTATATTAAGAATTAAAATCCCTAAATAAATTATTATATACTAGTTTATTACTACTAGTTAATAATATTTTTTATATAAACTAGGCCTTGTTTTACCCCTAAAATAGCTTTTATATATTTTAATATTTATTATTACCTTTTTAATTATAAAGGGGTTATATAATTTATAAAAAAGCTAGTAAATATATTAGCTAGCCTTTAAATTTATAAATTACTTAACTTATTATTTATTATTTATTTTACTTTTAGGCTACCTAGTGCCCAAAGCTTTTATTAAAAGTTTATTATTTTATATAATTTATTATTATTTATTTATATTTTTAGGAATTACTCTGGCTTATTAATACCTAAAGCTTTTATTAATACTTATTATTTTTATTATTTTAATTATTAATTTTTTAATACTTATTTATAAATTATACTTCCAGGGAAGCCTTTTCCTAGTATTAATAATTTATAACTTTTTAATTTAAAAAAAACTTTTTTTATACTAGTAGCTTATAATTTATTAATTTAGGGAAGTTTTTAATATAAATAAAAAAAAGTATTAAAAATAGGTACCTAAGGCTACTAGCAGCCTTAGGCCTTTAATAAAAAAAGGTTCTTTTAGCCTAAATAACCACCGTAAAACTCTTTATCCATCCCTAAAATATCTAGCTTAGTAAACTATGTAATATAAGAGACTTCTACATACAGTAACTATTTATTCCTTTTAGTAGCCCTAAGAGACGGCTCCCAGGTATGCCCACGAGGTCGACTAAACAAAACAATTCTTTTACTCTGCAATGGCGGGCTGTTCCTCGTGTCAGTATTGTCGAATGCCATAGCTGGGCGGTTGTCCTTGGAACCCTAAGTCTCCGACCGTGCGAAATCTTCAGTCTGTTTAACAGTCCGTTACTATGGATTCTGCTTTGTCTTTGCGGGGAAATATGGCTTGGGCATTTTGATCTAGGTAAGAAGCTACCATACATTGCAACATGATCCATTTATGGCTCAGATCCTCGCTTGAAGTTAGATTTCGATGAGTTCGGAGATGATATACCGCAAGGACAGCCGCGCTACACCTCATCAGGGATGATCAAAGGTTTTTCTCCTCATAATGACCGCCAGGCTACTGCTGCGTCGGCATGTAAACACACATCTCAAACCCATTCGTGAAGGGCAAAGTCATATTGCGGAACCCACTTCCAGGCGCTCTAAGGTAAGCCAGCAAATCCGCATAGCCCTCAGCGCCGGAGATGGTATTATCAACCAGTACCACGGCGCCATGCCGCAGGCAAGGCTGAACGATCTTCAGCGTGGGAAGAGCGAGCTTGGACCAGACTGTGCTCGGATCCCATAGTTAGCAGGGCGCCAGTTAATCCAGAAGCCAAGGGAATACGCACTATCCAATAACAGCAAATCAACCTCAGGCAAGTCCTCCTTCAACGTCTTCAACAGATCCCCCTCACGCAACTCAATCTGATTCTCAACATCAGGTCCACACTGCCGCCAGTACGCCCTCGCGAAATCCGCCTTGCTGACCTCCTTCTCAGTCCCAATAACAACGCCCTCTTTCCCCGTCGCAGCCTTGGTCCTGGCCACAGCAAGAGCAAGGTAAATGGTGCTAACGCCAAAGCTTGTTCCTGCCTCCACAACATTTGTAGCGCCCATCGCGTTGATGAGCTGGTACGTGAACTGGCACTTGTCTTCATCGAGCGCAATGAATTTGTCCAGCATCAGCTTGTCGAACGCGGCGGCCGGATCGTTCTTGTCATCCCCGGATAACTCGTCCATCACCATTGAGGAGAAGATCTTGCCCTCCTTGGCTTGGGCGATGGCGGCCTCCTGCTCGAGGGACTTCTTGTGGAGGTCCGAGAGGAGCTGTAGGATGTGGGGTGGGGCGTCGACGGGGTTTGGGGCGGACATGGCGGGGTTGGGTGGTGGGTAGGATGAAAGTACGATCTGTGTACAAGACAAGGAGAACGGTGCTATTTAAATTTAGGATGCTACCGAATCCAAATATGAGTCAACAGTTTGCACAGATGTCATCGGGCTGGCCTCGGGTATTGCGGATCAGCAGGCTTGGCATATTGGGGTAAAGTCATGCCAAATCGGCCCAAGACACGACATCGGGTTTGATGCGGGCATTGAGCTTTACTGCGTATGTCCAAGACCGAGCCTGCGCGGCCGCTCATCAATCATCCACCGGCAAACTGCACATAGCAGTCGGGGAGAAGCCGAGTCTACTCCAGTTCCCTAGGTGGATCTCCCCATGAGTCTCTGCAGATTCGCCAGATGTCACCAGGGCAGGTGCTGTTGACCTCATTAACTCCTGCTTGCCTGATCGGGATCTGCACACAGTCACGGTGGCAGGCTGTGGCTATAACATAAGGTCATAATCCATGCACTGGAGACTCACGGGCAAACCCACCTTAATAAACCAGAGTACCTGGCTATAGCGTACATGCTTTATTTATACTTCCACCTTGATGAACAGGTGCTTACCTCTCCTCCTCGTTCTCGGCAACGGACACCACACAACCCCATAACGGCATAAACCCCAACAACCCGGGTTCAGCACCATAGTCCCAACCCTCTGCGCCACTCCTCAGCGCCGTACCAGAACTCAGACTGTGAAGCTGGACCCACCGCGGCAAGAGCATCGCACAGACAGCTGGTACGACGCAGTGATTGTGCTCAAATCCAATCAACCTTCCATATATATACAAACAAACCCACACCGGGATCCCTATCTAGCCCTGGATGGCCATATCTACCTAAGTCCCCAGGTAGGACTGTTCTGCTTGTAGCTCAGAAAGAGCTGAGAACTCGTCACGACGCTGCAGCTTCCCGTTCCTCCTCATCCCCGGCCTCCTTGACGTCCTTCCTATCCTTCTCCGTGGTGTCCACCTCCGCCGTCTCCCCGTTCAACTGCACATTCTCCAAGAAAAGCATAACAGCCAACATCGGCGCCAGCGCACACAGCGCCGCAATCCCCAACAACCTCTGACTCTGCCTATAACTCAAATCAATCGCCTCCCTTGCCTCCGTGCCCACCTCATACCCCTGTGCCACAACAATACTCCCAAAGATCCTCTGCGCCTGGCTCTTCAAGTCCTCCGGCAGATTCTCCTCCAGCTTAGTAGGCAGAGTGCTGCGCCAAATCGCCCCCGCAACACTGGTCCCAATGGCACCGCCCACACTCATAGCCGCGAAGAACACCGCCGTGACGACCGAGACCTCGCCGCGGGATACACTCGCCTGGACCGAGACCTGCGACGCGGTCTGATAGAAGCCGCGCCCGATTCCGATGAGCGATTTGGCTGCTACGAAGGCTGCTTCGGTGCCGACTTTGGCGCCGCCCAAGTCGACGAGGTGCAGGAGGACTCCCATGCCCAGCACGCAGAGTGGAACGCCGGCAAGCACCCAGATCTGCGAGCGTTTTGTGAACTTCATGAAGTAGGCTGCGAAGATGCCGGAGACTTGGAAGGCGACGCGGAGGGAGTTGCTGCGTCCGTTAGGATGACACGCTGCATTCCCAGGTATGGTATAGGTGCGGAAAGGAAGAAGACTTACTCGATCCTCGTGGCGCTCCCTGCCCCGTAGTGCCCCGCAACCTGGAGATAGCTCGTGAAGAACACCGAGAAGACGGAGTAGTGGAAGAAGTCGAGGGCGCCGAGGATGCATGCCGCGGCGACGGTGCGGTTCTTGATTAGTCTGTATGGGATGAAGGGCTTCGCTGCGAACCATGTATCCCATGCAATGAAGAGGATGAAGATGACGACGCCGACGACGAGCATGGCGATGAAGGAGGGCTTGTGCCAGTCGTCGCTGTTTCCGGACCCTGTTAGTGATAGCGGGACGAGGAAGAGCGATAGGCCGAGGAGGAGGAGGACTGCGCCGAAGGCGTCCAGTTGCACCCAGAGGAGGTTGTAGACGCGCTTCCACCACGGATCCGTCCCCTTCCACCCGAAGAGCTCGGCTGCGGATTGACTCTTTTCTTCAGTGTTGCGACGTTGGTAGTATAGCATCGCGCCGACGAGGAGAATCGAGCAGGCGGGCTGGATGATCGCCCACATGCCGTACCCCCAGCGCCATTTGTTCTTCTCGAGCATAGCTTCGGCGATCTCGGTGCCGATGTAGAGCGATGGGATCACGGTCAGGGAGTCTGGGAGCGTCGACCAGATGGCGCGGTTGATGAGGTTCGTGACGTCTGCGACGAAGACTTGTTGGGTGAGGCTGAAGCCGGTGGATCTGTTTATGTTTCCTGTCAGTGAAGTGCAATCATGTTGAGAAAGGGACTTGGGGTATTATGGTAGAGACTGACCCGATGGCGTCGAAGATGCCCCCGGCCTATACATAGCCCTGATGTTAATCACGGCACCATCGAAGCATGTAGGTAGGCGCCTGCTCACAATATATTGACCGACGTTCTGGCAACCTGCATAGATGGCGTTCGCAATGGCTTGGAACAGGATGGAGAGGATGAACATCTCTGCTCTGCCGAAGACCTTTAACCTGTTAGCTCCACGCACCAAGGATATGTAGCAATGCAATTCAACGCCAACTCGACGCACGTACATCACCCAGTTTAGCAATAATCGGATACGCAGCGATCCTTGTGATATTCCCCACGACACGTGCAGCAGACATGGCGGAGTGTTGTTTGAACGAAGAGGTTGCGTACGGGGTGTAGACTTGAGTCGAGTAATCACCGAGATTGATAGCGAGCGTCGCGAGAAAGAGCCTGTTTATACATATAGCGTTTGTTAGCCAGCCGTCTTTGGGTATGTCGCAAAATCTCAAGGGAGATAAATGTACCCAGAGAAAGTTATGATGAGTCCCTGCTTTGTCCAGCCTTTGCGCAGCATCTCGGCCCTACGAACACCGGCCTGGAGGCTCTCTGAGTCCCCGGACCTCTCTTTGAGAGCGTCCTCTGGGGTTTCCTCAGTATTTTCGGTACTTGATGGGCCTTTCGGCGTCACTGATATTTCCTCGGCCGCCATGGTGCACGTTGTCAGAGGAGGAAACGACGAGGCAAGGTAAAAAGCTGTAACAAAGAGAAACCTGACAAGAAACCTTACCAACCGTCCCTTAAATACCGCAGGCTGTACCTGAACGGGCCATAGTGCCTCACAAACTTCCCGCATATATCAGGCCACGCGACTCCGGCCGACGCACGGCGATACCCAACCTATGGAGGCCCCAGGTAAGCGAATCTAATCTTATCTAGGCCGGGGCCGAGGTGGAGCTTTGCTGGATCAAGCATCAAGGCCCGTTCCTGTGGGGTATAGTGTCTAGAAAACAAGATCAGATAACCAATGCCAAGGGCAGCCAAGGCCTCCGCTTCAAGCCACCGCGCCGACCTCGGCCTTTTCCCGGCGAAAATGGTGATATCCCGGCTTAAATAGCTGCTGCTGCTGCTTGGACCTGCCTGTGGAACGTGTGATCTAGGGCACTGCACCATGGCTGAATGGACGTTTAACCCGAGTGAGCCGGGTACGGCTAGGAATATGGCCTCGTGGCAGGTCACCGCTCCGAACCAAGAAGCGTACCAAATCGACGTCTCGTGGCCGCTTGGGTGGTCGGGCCCCAACGATGGGGAGGCTGTGGCAGACGCCCTGTAAGTGAGCCTACAGCTCACCACCGAGATAGGGCTGACGTCGCACCAGCTACCTCGTGGACGGCAACGCCCTCTTCCTGACAGCCACTGAGACCCTCCGACGGTGCGAAGCTCAATCTCATCGGCGCCACAATGTAGAGTCAGAGCCAGGAACCATTGTCGTGGCAGTCGGTTACCCGCTCATGGACACTGTCTTCAGCCCCCAGCGGAGCTATGACCTTACGCCACCCTGCCCTCCTGAGCAGTATACACCACCGTGCAGACCAGATGGAAAGGCGAAGGCCGATGACCCTCATGGGGGTGCTGATGAGTTCCTTTCTTTAATCACGGAGGTCGTAAAGCCCTTCATCGAAAAGACCGTATTTCCACGCGTGACCTTCGCTCGGACCGCGCTGTTCGGTCACTCATATGGTGGGCTTTTCGTCCTGCATGCACTCTTTACCAAACCATCATCGTTTGACGCATACCTTGCCGCAAGTCCGTCGGTATGGTGGAGTAACCGACATGTTCTGTCTCAGGCAGAGAGGTTCTACTCTGTGTCTGCCAATCTCGCAAGTCGTCCGGCTCTGTGGATGTCGTTTGGATCGAGAGAACAGGCTCCTGTTCGTGGACCTGGAGAGTCACTGGAAAGGTTTCAGATACGAGAGGAGGCTGCTAGCCGGCGTCGGATGGCGGATAACTGCAAAGAGCTGAGGGAAATGCTGCTGGGACGGGCAGGTAGTCGCCTGCGAGCCGTGCAGCTCCGCGAGTTTGCTGATGAGGATCATGGGAGTGTCATCGCGCCTGCTTTGAACGGGGCGATAAGTTTCTTCAGTACCTTTACCAATACAACAAACTGATATCATGGGTCACACTGGCTCCTTGCATATGTTCAATGTTCACCTATTTTCCCAGCGACCCGACCGTATTACTTTGAGTAAGAGACCTAGGCAGGATGGCCAGAACACTTGCCAATCAAGGCAAGCGCGACCGAAAGACGCTGCGAATGAGAACGCCGTGTTGAGAGGATGGTCGTACAGTACTTTTGGTCAACGATATATCAACTTGGAAGCTGCCAAGTGATTGATCACTCGCAGCTGCAGAAGCAAACAACCCCCTGAGCGGGGTAGAAAAAGGTTCCCTCACCCCCAACTCCCATTATTTTCTTACCATCTCCCGTGCCCCAGGTGGATATCAGGAGACCTTTCCTCTGTCGATTGCTCCGTGATGTCTTCCTCGGCTGTAACGACCCGCAAACGTCGCTGTCACAGTGAACCCCCTACACTCTATCATGAGGACCTTGATGGCGACCGTGGGCTTTTACGTAAGGACGGTGAGGACGGCCAGCCTGAGTCGAAGCGACCGCGCCTCGAGGCCTTACCGTGCACCGAAGGCACAACTGGTCCTGGTGCCGTTGATGACTGGCTCCTGGAAGCTGCAGGGCTGTTGAAAAACCTAAGAAAGGCAGGGACAACAGCGCCCGCCGGTTCGGATGACGATTCGGGCCCATCAGACGCAGAGAGAATTGCAGCGCCAATGGCTCGGGAGTTGACAACGGACAAGTCTGTCGTCCGCCTTCAGACAGAGATCGATTTCCTCCAAGCGAAATCCAAGCAGCAGTTGGCACCATTCCCGCAATCGACATATATGGCGGCACGGGGCTCGGGCTGCCATCATGCGCACGAATACTTAAAGCATATCCTCCCACCCAAAGCAGTCTGCGATCATCTTCTCACTGTCTATGCGGCTACCTTTGAGCGGATATACCGAGTGCTGCACATGCCGACCTTTCGCCGACTGTATGAGGAGTTTTGGAGTTGCCAGATGCCAACCGACTGCCAGCCCCCTCCAGCCCCTATGGCACGGTTCTTACCCCAGCTCGCCGCAGTGCTGGCCATTGCCTCTATGTTGGCGAGTCAAGCCTACCGCGAGACCCATGCGGCGATTCTTGCCGGTTTCGACGCATTCGTCATCCCTTCTCTCCGTATGTGGCGCATCCATGCCACTCGGAACCGCGCGGGCGGGCAAGAATCCGAGTTCGCCGCGATCCAGACGAGGACCCTGCTTTTGTTGGCGGAGACCCTAAGATGTGATGCTCCGGCCAAACTGCACTCGGATTCAATGATGCTACTATACCAGGCAATGAACAGCAACCTCCCCCGCGCCCCCTGCACTTCTCCAAATCTGTCGGCGTTCGAAGCGGAGATGCGGCGCCGAGTTTGGGTTACAATCGTCGCTCTGGATCTCCAGGCCTCCGTGCTATCGAGTATGCCGCTTAACACTCCTGCCTTCGACCTTGGTCCCTTCTGCCCGCCGATGATCGATGACAGCGACTTTGATGAGCATTGCGCCGAGCTCCCATCTGAGACCACAAACTGGGCCCCCGCGGCCTTCGAAGCTGCAATGCTGTCACACTTTTCAGACCAGTTCCGCGCCATCGAAAGGGTAGCGGACTTCGAAGAACAACAGCAACTGCAATCCCTGGTGGACGCTCGCACTTGCGGTGTCAACCTCAAACGCCGCATCGACCAAATCCCGGCATCGTTTAAGGCAGATGATCCAGTACCCCACGAGTCACTACCGTCGTTGCCTCGCCTTCTTCACACCCTGCACATTCGCCGCCCGGTGGTTCGCGTGTTCCGAGCTATCATGGCTAGCGCTCATGCCTCCAGCATCGAACGGGAGAGCGCTGCGATGACTCTCCTTGATTCTTCAATGTCGGTGCTTCAGCTTCCAGGTTGGTTTGACCAGGTGTCTGGTTCTGGCTGTGACGCGGGCATGGCTCCCTCCCGACACAGTGAAACAATCTACAGGGTCTGCCGAAGGGATATCGTTAACGCAGCACTTGATTTGTGCGCATGCAAGGAACACCTGCACTATTGTTCTTCAGATGTATCCGACAAGTTCGGAGACGTGCTCGAATCCGTGGAAGGGGCGCTCGATGGCCTGTGTCGTACGCTCGACAATCCGACCAGGCCGGGGGACATGGACGATATTGTGCATGTGGCTGTGGCCCTCCATTTGGCTCGCTCGGGTAATCCCGAAAAGGTCACAAAAGAAGTGGTCAGGCCTGCAGTAATTAAGGCTTTGTCGTCTTGCCGCCAGCGCCTGGTATCATCAGTTCTTAAACGACGCACTGATAGTGACTCTGACGTGGATAGGGTACGTTCGTCCCGATTATGCTGTCGATTGCGGATACTGACTCCAACTCAGCAGCCGACGCCCTCCAGTCAGGCCTCCGATGAGACGGCCAGGCAATACGGACCGGATTTTGCTCGTGATGATCCTGCGCTGGCGGCGGAGTTTGCTGGCTTTGTGGTCAAGAGACTTTACGATTGATAGGTGGATATGGGGACGTGGTCTTTCCTTTGATCTCGTCTCGGGCTTAGGGTTACTTGTCTATGTGAAATTTTAAAGCCAACTATTCTGGAACTGCTGTCTTTATTGCCACAATCGTAAGAAAATAACCGCATGTTCCTGAAAGGATAGCAGACACGACCGTTTTGCAGACTAATACCCTGCACCTCGTTGACTATTTCCTCAGCCAGGCATTTTGGAAGAGTCGTGGCAATGTTGGTATTTCTGTGCTTGAAATAGCCACGATATATATCGGCGGGACAGCATACCATCTGGCACACGTTTTAGATCCTCGACGTCAAAAAATGCTGCAACCATGTATTAGATCTGTATCTTGGATGTCTAGCCTCCCCGTAAACTCCATCTTCCTTTGTTTTCCTTGTCTTACTTCCAGATCTTGGATGAACTGTGTCTGAAACAAGAACCCCCCATGAGTCACGTGATTACGCCAGCCCTGTGGCTGTGCGCCTGAAGAGATGGACACGAATCGAGAACTAGCTTACTCCAACACCGTCCCAAAGTCCTCTCCTAAAGCTCTCAATATACAGCCAGTCAGGCCTTGCACTATCGATGTCAACGGCGATCAGGAAGCGCAAGCGAGCGAGGAAGGCATGCATCCCCTGCCATCAGCGCAAGCGGAAATGCGACACCATGTACCCCTGTGCCATGTGTTCTACATATGGGTACAGTTGCACGTACAACAACGAGGGTGCGGGTGATACTACAACTGGTGGCTTACATTTCTCCCCTTTCGCCGAGTACGGTGCTTTGGACGGTGAAAGGCATTCATCGAACACGTCCCCGGTCCCGATCCCGGGCCCTGCCACTGCCCCAGTCTCTGCAACCCGCAGTCCAACCAACCAGTCGGACACGGGCCCAGGCCCTCAGTCGTCGACGCAGAGTCCCGCCGTCGCGGCTGCAACAAGCGCCTCGCCGGGCATATTCGACGCCCAAAAGTTCCGACACTCCGGCGCCTCAGCGGCCATGGCATTCCCGCACATCCTCGGCGTAGCGCTTGGTTCACACAGTCCCCCCAAAACACGGTCCTTTGCCTACAACTTCGGTGTTCGGCCCGAGGAGACATCGAATGCGCACTGCTTTCTGGCGAACCTCATCTCGCAGGACGACCTAGCCTTCTTCTCAGACGTGTACTTCTCGATCCTCGGCCCAATTGGGGACGTAATTGACCCGCAGATCTACGCACAGCGCTGTCAAGCTTACTATCTGAGCCTCGGGCGCAATGCCAACGGCGTCGCCTTCGCCGCCGTAGCAGCAGGCATCGCCGCCCTAGGCTCCTTCCTCTCACGGGCATCTCATACCAAACACCCCCGCGAATCCGAGCTCGTCGCCTACGCCAAGTCCATCCTCGACGACCCGGCGTCCATGCGCCTGCACGGAATCGACCACATCGTCGCCTGGGGCCTGCGCGTCCTCTACCTGCGCGCTACAACCCGCCCAAGCAATGCGTGGATTGCGTCCTGTACGCAGATGCATCTCGCCGAGGCGATTGGGCTGCATCTTGAAGAGAATGTAATGAAGATGGCGGGTAGTCCTAATGCGATGGCACGGGGCCATGATGCGGATAGGCTGCGGAGGATCTTCTGGGTTAGTTGGGCGGGCCATGTCATGCTCTGCTATGAGTATGACCGCGAGCCTGTGCGGTTTGGGGCTGTGACGTGTGGAGCGGTGGCTGAGGTCGCTGGGTCTGTTGCGGGCCAGTTTGTTAAGCTCATCCAGATTATCCCCAGCCCTAACTCGCCGTTCCAACTGGACAGTCAGCGTGGGACGCTGACTCCGAGTGAGGAGCTAATTCAGCGCCTCGGTGTTCTGGACACCTTCCACACAACGCATCCGTTCCTAGTGGTAACGAAAGCAGACATCGCGTTCGCCTTCTACCGCCGGCTCTACACGTGCAAGATTCGGATCCCGGACGAAGCCATAAACGTGATTATCGACGCCGGCAATGCAGCCGTGGATGCAGCGACACAACAAGCTACTCAGGGCCATCTATTCTGGAACGTCATCGGCAGTGTCTTCCAATACGCATGCATCCTTTTGGCCGTTGACACACCGACCGCATCTGCGCATCTTGGCACCGCGTTTAGGGGGCTGGAGGATCTTGTCCAGGCTGCGGATACGCCGCTGACGAGGGAGGCGTTGGGCGTGGCGCGGCATCTGCTGTGTTTAAGTAAAGCTAAGAAAAGAAGAGAGTTGGAGCTGTTGGAGGGTGTTGAGGCGGGGTATCGGTTCTCCTCTGGGCAGGCGGGTTTGGAACCGGGGACGAATGTTGATGCCGTGGCGATGCCGGATGTGGGTGTGGAATTGGACTGGGATCAGTTCTTCATTGAGCCGTTCTTTTCTCTGCCTTGGCCTGATGTTCAGCTGTAGTTCGGTCAGGGCCGTTTCACCTCGGTGGAGGGTGTTCAGAACGGGTTTGTCGAGCTCGAGCCATGTTGCAATTCCATGACACGGTCTATGGACTTCTATGATTGTCCAGATAATGAACTAGAATACCTGGAATGATGCTGATCTGGTGTAAAGGTCATGACCTTAGACACCTCGGGACATGTTCGACTGCGGGGGGGCTGTAGGCTAGCCCTAGGTGAACATATAGGGCCTTGTAAGAGGTGGAGGAGGTTCTATGAATCTTTGAGCTGAGAAGTTGAATTGATTGGACTTATTGTGGCTCTGGGAATCACGGAAATGGTATCAAGTAGACAGGGGTGATTTGTTACTGCCTGCGGCGTTGTGCGGCTTTACGTGCGGCTGCTGCGGAGTTATGTCTATCGCCGCACGAGAGCCCCATTAACTAGTCTTTAAGTTAGAGAGCACTGCAGACTATGGAACATATAAAAAGATCGATAATTCAGGCTCAGTAACAGACACAAGACATTCATCGCGCTCTCAAGCATAACCACACTCACCTTTTCTCCAATTGAACCCTAATCACACCAACCAACCAAACCACAATGCCCGCCTACACCAGAGACCAGACCATCGGCCCCAAAAACGCCATTGAGCGAGTAGCCATCGTCGGCGTAAGCAACCCAACCCATCCATCCTAAAAGCACAGCACCCTAACAAATCCCCAGGCCGGCGGCACAATCGGCTCCCACATCACCAGCGCCCTCCTCAAGACCGGCCGCCACACCATCACAGCCCTCACCCGCAAGAACAGCACCAACAAACTCCCCCCAGGCGTCCTCATCGCCCCCATCGACTACAACAAGCCAAGCACCCTCACCACCGCGCTCCAAAACCAAGACATCCTGATAATAACGCTCTCCCCAACCACCCCAAAAGACACACACGCCAAACTCGTCCAAGCCGCCGCGCACGCCGGAATCCGCTACATCATCCCCAACGCCTACGGCGCGGACATCGAGAACGTCAAGCTCGGCGAGGAAACACTGCTCGGCCCCGTGGGCGCCGCACAGCGCGCGCAGATCAACGACCTCGGTATGCACTGGATTGCAGTCTGCACCGGGTTCTGGTACGAGTATAGCCTTGCGGGCGGGGCGGGGAGGTTCGGGTTTGATTTCTCAAAGCGCGCTGTTACGTTCTATGATGATGGAACTACGAGGACGTCGAGTAGTACGCTGGGCCAGGTTGGGCGGGCTGTTGCGGGGGTGTTGAGTTTGCCGGTGCGGCCGACGCCAGGGGCTGATGATGGGTTGACGCTGGCGGACTTCGTGAACAAGCCGCTCTACGTGAAGAGCTTTGTTCTCAGCCAGCGCGATATGTTTGAGAGTGTGAAGCGGGTTACGGGGACGGGGGATGCGGATTGGAGCATCTCGTATGAGGACAGCGAGAAGAGGTATGTGGATGGATTGGCGCTTGTGAAGAAGGGGGATATGGGCGGTTTTAGCAAGTTGTTGTATGCGAGGGTGTTTTCTCCGGATGATTGTACGGATTTCTCGGGGAAGGCGCAGAATGAGATGCTGGGATTGCCGGAGGAGGATCTGGATGAGGCGACGAGGGCTGGGATTGAGCTGGTTGAAGAGTTGAAGGGGAGGGCTGAGCGGATGGCAAATTAGAGAACTGTGTGTACGATTGGGGATTCTGTGGAGGGTAATGCATGGATAGACGGTTATACATTGCTTAAATTAGAGGCCTTTTTAGTGTTGACGGTATTTACTTCCATGTCTATGTTTTGAATCTTGTTGTGGATGTCCCCCGTTTATATGATACAGGTTACCCGTGTGTTGATTATCCCACTATTGCAATCTACAAACGCTTTCCAGACCTTTCCACGCATTGCCCCCTCTCAACCGCTATATAGCATATACATACAGGGATATTCTGTCCTGCTCAACACTGTTGCTCACTCCACCACCCCCCACAGCAAAAAATGCAGAAACAAAAACATACAACAGCTGGGATTCGCATGTGGTCACCCACCATACTACTAACCAGCCGGCGTGTGGTTTAAGTACGGCTGAGCGGACGGGAAGCCCTGTTCTCCACACCCTGTGGTCGTATGTAGTTGGTAAATGTTTGATAAGACTCATGTAAAGCAGTATAAACGAGCACTCTTCGCTGGCAAAGCCGCACCTACTAACCCCTCAAGCCCATGTTGAGTAGAGAATGGGATTCGGGCATCAAGTTGGCCTCGGACAATGTTCTTGATTCACCCTCCCGTTGAATAACGTAGACCGGATAGCTGTGCAGTATCCCGGTCAGGCCACTTCATCTCCAGATTGTTTGGTACCTCTGGAAAGCCAATCCCAGTTCGACAAACGATCAACCCCGCGGCCGCCAACTGACCATACCGTCCTCTAGCCAGGACTGGCGGTTAAGCCTTTGCTTGCCGACTGTCGTGAGTCCGAGGACTGGAACAGTGTGAAGGTTGAGAATGGTCGAACGGTTCTGTTCGACGTGTGACTTCAATATGCCTTCAAAGCCAGGCTGGCTATGGCCCCAAGGGCAGAAACTGATACGAAGGTTTTAGAAATTCTCCAGCCTGACACCTGGGCTCATGCTCTGTTCTCGGCGCAGGTTGAATTGTCTCCCTGCAAGTGTGAGGTCCGCATTTCATACCCTGAATGGTTGCGTTTTGCAGAGAACGCCTTGCTCGAGATTTTCCTGAGCTTCGTTTACGTTGAAGGATTCAAATCTGTATTTATAAGTGGTATCCCTAGTAATAAAAGTCTTCATAGCATGGTACCATGCTATGGTGTAATTCTTTAGCAGTCTGGATAGGAGCCCACGAACTTCATGCCCATAGGCCCTTTAGACAGGTTAGTCACTACTGCGGCCCGTGGAATCTCTAAGGGGTATACTAAAATAAAGCCAGGCTCGTTTAGTTAAGACTATATTCATTATATTATCAATACTCCAATGACACCGCGCGAGAAGGTACAAACGGAGGAATGGGTATCAGTGTTTGATGGACAGGGAAAGGTTAAACGGAGGCTGAGTGAGCTTCGGTCTCAGCTGCCCGTGACGGACCTGGTGAGTTGAAATGGTACGGCGAAGGCATTGGATGTCTTCACGGCTGGATCGTATGCGACTCGGGATAATGCGATAGTGACTCGGGTGGAGAACAGTGGTGCAGGTGTTGAGGTAATCGTCAAGGCCATGTCTACTACGATGGCATGGCAATTGCGCAGGTCTCGCAGTCTCGCAACCAGAATCCATGACCATCAGGACAACCCCAGCCCGTCAACGCCGACCTCCAAAGCGTCCGCGTCCAAGCCGACATCACGGCCCTCCCGCAGGCCGTCTGCACCAGGTCCCAAAAGCAGATTCTGGCGACTCGTCATCGGCTCCGCGCGCCACACAACGGCCTCCGTCTCTTGAATCTGCTGCAAAACATGCTCGTCCATGTGTTCCAGCACGCTCGCAAACTTGCGCCTCGTGGCTGCGTCGTACTCGGCCAGATCTGGGACGGTCCATTGGTCGTATAGCCGCCCGTGCGTGCTGAGCATCTGGAACCCGCCGTGGTATCGCAGGAACAGGTAGCACAGGTAGCAGAGGTACTTGCTCGTGCCGATTGTCCGCGGTCGGACCACCGCAGACGCAGCATCAACCTGTTCATCTTCTGAGGCGCTCTTCGCAAGCTCCACGAGCAGTTGGATTTCAGCGTGGACGTGGCATGTATGGGCCCACGATTCGTATGCTATGCTGGTAGGGACGCTCGCGTATGGGGAGATGTATTCGACGGCGATGTTTCGGAAGACGTGCGGATATCGACTGGCCACTGTCACGAGGTCCTGGGCAATCCTCCAGTAAGCGCCTATCTTTTCGAGTTGTCGTAGTGTCTTGATTGCTGCGGCAACCTGGCGAGTATCACCTGCGGACTCGAGCTTGGATGCGTAATCGCCTAGCAGTGGCGCCTTGCACCAAGAAAATGTTGTTTTCACGAGCTCCTCGAGTGCCTGTGGAGTTGGGGTGTTGGAAGTCTCAAAGCTCTCATAAAGTTTACGGATTTCCTGCACAGATGTGGCGATTGCTTCCCGGGTTTTGCGCTCGGACTTCCTCGGATAGATGTGCTGCGCTCGGTGCAGGAGATTGTCAAAGTCTTGCCATAGAGGCTTCTTGTGTGTTCGGGCCAGATGCTTGGGCTTTGTCCACTTCTTTGAGCGAAGACGACCGAGGAGCTTCTGCTCATGTTGTTGAACGATTAAGCGGAAGATGGTCTCGGTGCTGTTTTGTCGTTCTAGCGTCATAGGCTGAGCATGAGACTGGAGCTCAGCTACAGTGGCTTGAAGCATGCGTTTCACATCCTCATTGATGACGTCCATGCCTGCTACACGGATGGCCAAGGTGGGATGATCCGGCACGATGGGGTTGCCAATGTGCTGTTCGAGGCAGACGGCGGCGACGCTCTGGGCCCCTTCGGTGACGGCGGCAATGTAAGCAAGATCATCGGCCACTTTCTTCTCTGTTGCCAGCGGCAGAAAGAGACTCGAGTTGTGGTGGTCAATGTCTGCGGCTGTCAGGACATCCATCGGCACGGCATTGGTCTGCTTCGCCAGGGTGACCAGGTGGTGACGGAAGGCATCTTCGGTGATTGGCGACCAGATGGTATTTGGATATCGGGCAGTCTGGACTGGGCGACCAGTGGGCGTGGAGGAAGCAGGTGGCATGAGGATTGAGGAGAGGAGAGGATGGAGATGAAAAGAGGAGAGAGGAGCAAAGCTTGATGGATGCGGAAAAGGCGAGCGGAATGGAAGATGATTGGTTGATACAAGAATAGGCCTCTAATCATACAGGGCAACTAACCCTAACAAGACATAATGCCAGTTGGATACCATACTGCAAAGATCTGCCCCCTTTTGTCATAAAAAGTCCCGGAACGGCTGCCGAGGATGTAAGCAGAGAAGAATCAAGGTACAGTGAATGCTAGTCTCGTAAGAGTGGTCAGTATCTAACACTCAGGCAGTGCAATGAGGTCTATCCCTGTGTAAATTGCTCCAAACATGGCATCCGCTGCAGCTACGTCTCATCAGTCAACAACCGGGAATTGCAAGTCCGATTTGATTCATATTCCACGTCTGTCGACGCATCTTCACCCGCGTCATCGCCACAGATCACGGAGATGGAAACAATACAACCATTCAGTTTTTATCTTGGTAGAACCAATAATCCATTCCAGTTCATCAGCATACTCTCCCACTCCGTTCCAAGTGCTCCAACTGTGCCTACCGGTAATAAGGACTGGGTTCGCGACCTCCAGTTGCTACATCACTTCTGCACCGTGACCACAGACACACTAGCTATAAGGGAAGACGCCCGATACACGTGGAAAGTCATGATCCCGCGTGAGGGGTACGAGAACGCATATCTCATGCATGGCATGCTCGCACTCTCCGCTCTGCACCAAGCCCATCTCTACCCGGCGCAGAAAGACCATTTCCTCGCCCTATCTTCCTTCCACCAGGCCGAAGGCCTCGAGACCTTCCTACCCTTGTTCAAAATGTCACGCCTGAAAACTACCCGTCCATGTTCTGCTATGCGTCGCTTGTGGTGTTCTATACCAGCGCTCTCCCCATCCGCCTGGGCGTCGCCGCCCGCCCGGATCCCATTTCCAACATCGTTGAACTGTTCACGTATCAAAGGCATAGATGCAGTTCTGGCGCCATTCATCCCTTCGCTACGGAAAAGCTTCCGAGCCCCTCTTGCCTTGCCTCCAGTGTTTGGCTTGAGAATCAGCTTCTAGGAACCAGGTAAGCAGGCCTTCATACACACCATCCCCGAACTGGTTCATGGTTCATCTAACCAGGATTGCTAACCCTTCCCAGGCAACCCCCCGTCTCACAATTACCCCCAGACGCCCTCTCGCACATCAACTCGCTCCGTGAATTCTCCGAAATGCTCGATATGGCAGCTGAAGAACGTAACGACTATAACATCGCTTTCTCCAGGCTAGAGAGCGTAGTCCGGCAAATCAATCTGGCAGGCCCATCCGTTGAAACGGGCACCTGCATGGTATACATCTGGCCGTTCGGTCTCCCAAAGAGTGTGACGACCGACATCCAGGAAAGGCAGCCTCTGGCTCTTATAGTGCTCGCGCATTACTGTGGTATACTGAATCTTTTGGACAATTCGTGGTTTCTACACGGCTGGGGCCGACAGCTATTGAGTGAACTTGGAAAGCAGTTGCCTTCTGCGTATGCGCACTGGTTGGAGTGACCGAATCGGCTTGTTTTTGGATGAGGGGACGGTATGGTGGTGGAATCGGAGATTTACTCGGTCTTTTAGAAGAGTTGGAATATATAGGTTTAGGAAGGGGGAGCTGGAATGCCTCCCCTTTCTGTGAATCGATATTAGCTTTCACCTTAATACTGTGTCGCCTTGATTCCAGGCTTGCTGCCCCGGTAACTTTAGACCTGTGCAAATGGAGTCCTATAGGAATGGATAGAGATGAGTCTTACCATCCTAAACAAGCGCAGCCCTGACTAGTCGGGTACAACTAATATGCAACATAGCTGTCCTGGATAAGCTCACAGTACCGACTTCGAGAAATGCGGCACCAGTGTGTGGATCCAGTGTCACCATTGACTCTATACATTGAATTATTCGTCCTCCATATACAAAAGCTTTATACTGAGGCTCAGTCCAGTCCCATTCAGTCAGGGTTTCTCATTAACAGGCAATCCAACCTTCCTACATCAATGCAGAATCCTGACGCCCATACCATGAAATCCCCGTAATCCATGTATTTCCGTGGTCCCAGGCGTGAACAGTTCAAGTAAAAGCGCATCATCAAAATCTCTCCCTAAAGTCGCACTCCCCACCCCCATCAGATCGGAACCCAGTCATCCTTCCCAGCTCGCCTCAAAATGAACGCAGGATGATACCTAACCAAGACCAACATCGCCAAAGCCATAAGCAACGCATCAAAGACGTAAAGAAATGCCCCGTGGGTCATAATATACCCTCCATACCCATCTACAAACTCAACGAGCCGGAAAGCCGACCGAACCAATTTCAGAAGCGAGACGACGTAAACAGCCTTGAGCAGTGTCCTCCAGTCCCAGGGTCGCGAATCCGGAACTAGACCGGCATGCCCAGTACCCGCTCTGTTTCCCAGGGCTCGTTTATGGAAGACGATGGAGGCGACGAGAAAAAACCCGAAGAAAAGGAGCTGGACGATCAAGCCGCAGATCGTAATGTTGGTACCGGTCGAGCTGCTCCCACTCGCCATCAGACCACCGCCTGTAGAATGGTGCATGTTAGACGGGACCTGACTCTGCAGCGGTGCGTGATAGCAAGAGAGACATACCAGCGCATTGTGCGAGGAAGGAGAGGACATCGCCCGCGACGAAGATCTCGGTCATCCAATTGAGCCGGATGATGCTTAGATGCTGCGCTCGGAGCGAGGTGATCAGCCGTCCGAGAACCATGTAGATGGACGCGGCGTAGAGAGCAGGCGCAAGGAGGATGAAGAGGTTCTGGATCGAGTAGATCGGGATTGAGTCTTCGTGGTTGTGCCCGGCGATTCGGGCGAGGTGTCCGATTATCTGGACTGGAGGGGAGTGGTATGGAATGTCAGCGGCCGTTTAGAGGAAACAGCTGGAGCATAGGCCACGAAAGCTTAAGAGGATGGACTCACAGATTCATCCGATGAAGAAAGGAGTCCAGTACCATGCTCTTGCCTTTAAGAGGCGGAAACCGTGCAACAGGGTGGCGATGATGAAGATGATCAGGAAGATGGCTGCTGGCGCGATCGAGGGATTATAGCCGCAGACACTGTTGTCCGCCATTTTGGTCTTAACAGTTGTTGATACTTAGACAGATGTACAGAAGTCTTCTTATATAACAAGACTACGCAAGTCACGCTTCTTCATCTTTCTCATGCTTGGCAACGAGAATGGAGGCTGAAGAAATAGCCCTAGTCGCATCCTTATTCGTATTCGCAATTTCAGGCATCAGGTATCTCTGGTAAGGCCAAAGGAGTCCCTGGCCCCGGGGCGCAGTGGAGAAGGCCCGCTGGAGAGCGAATACTACGAACACGACCAGCGCCTCAGAGTACGAGCATAATGGGGCTTTGCAATGGCGCTCCAGGGCTGCCAAGTGCTGAACCATGGACCAAAATAACCAGGACTTGGTCACATCGCACTATTTGGGTCTCCTTGAGGCTATACAGCATTTTTGGCGGTTCCACTGTATAGATGTCTGAGAGTTCACGATTAATGGTGTTGCGACGACAGGAGAACCGAATTACCGGGGTATGCCCCAGGGTAGGCTGGATGGGGTTGATTCCAATGGACACATAGATTCTGTTCATATAGTTGGAACGAATACGGCGAGTGAACCGGACCTCAAGAGTGTCTCCCTACCCTACATGTACAAGTGAAGTCATGTGCTGCTATCATATCGATGGATATATAAAAGAAACCTTCTTCTCATCTGATAGAGAAACCAAAGTCACAACACAGCGAATCTCAGCCTGTCATGCGCTCATCCTCCAGTTACTCCTGGCCTTGTCAACATTGGCAGCGGACGCGCTGGCCGCCTCGTTGCACTGCAAATGTGTAAGTTATGTCTCTGTTAGATTCACACAGGCGCTGAGAGATTGCCTAAATACAGACTCCAAACGACCCCTGTTGGCCATCGGCTTCGGACTGGAACTCACTAAACCACACCCCGGCCGTATCCGGCCGCCTCATTAGCACTGTCCCAGTCGCATCAGTCTGCTACCCATCCCAGACAGATTACGACGAAGAGGCCTGCAACGCTGTTCGTGGCAATTGGACAAGCTGGCCCTTCCACTCCAGCAACTCGGCAAGCACTGGCAACCCAGCCTGGGATCGCGCTTGCACCCCGATCTATCCCAATGGAACGAGCCTCACGGGAAACCCTAATGCTGGGGAAGAAGGCTGCTCGATTGGAAATTACCCACCGTATGTTGTCAATGCCACGGAGACTGCTCATGTGCAGGCTGCAGTGAGGTTTGCCAGAAAGTGGAATCTGCGTCTGAACGTCAAAAACACTGGCCATAGTAAAGGACGAAGGTAAGCCGTTTTCACTGTGGCCACCTCTGCAGTTCAGACTGGATACACGCACTGACGGGACGTACAGCATTGCCTCTGGAAATCTGTCGTAAGTAGCAGACCGCTTGAGCAAACGAACTCTGACAGGTGCAGGATCTGGACCCATCACATGAAGGACTTCCAATTCCACGAAAAGTTCCAGCCAGCATCTTGTCACGGTGAGGAGGCAATCATGGCAGCGACCGTGGGCGCTGGGACTCACGACGGCGAGTTATACGCCGCAATGGCGGAACATGATGCGCTGGCAGTGGGAGGCGAGAACACAGTCTGTACCCGGTGATCTTCACATACCCAGACAGTCTAACATCCGCAGGACGTCGGAGTAGTCGGATGGGCCACTGGCGGTGGACATGGCCTCGCAACCGGCGAATACGGCATGGGAGCAGACAACATCATTGAAGTTACTGTCGTAACCCTCGACGGAAATATCGTCACCGCAAACGCCTGCCAGAACGAAGACCTGTTCTGGGCAATTTGAGAAGGGGGGGGGGGGGGCACGTTTGGTGTCATCACCAGCCTTAGGGTGAAAGCTTACAAAATGCCATCCCTTGCCGCGGTCACAATCGATGTTGCTGCTCGCAATGCCACTTTGGACAAGTCGTGGTATACCCTCTTGGCGAACATGCATACAGAGTTCCCCGAGTTGCAAGATGCAGGATTGCACGGATATTACACCATGTCCGGCTCCCCGAGGTCCTTCTCCGTCACCCTGCTACAGTATAACCAGCCGGACGCAACCAGCGCGAAAAGGCTTATACAGCCACTACAGCGGACTCTAATTGCCGCCAATTCCTCGGCAACGCACCGTATCACCACTCAATGGTTTTCGTCCTGGTACACCATGGTAAAGGGTGTGCCTTGCTCCGGCTGCACGGGAACAACACACAGCGTCCAGGCATCAAGACTAATCCCCCGTCGCTCGTTGGAAGACGTCGACTTGCTCAGTGAAGTTCTAAGAACTGTGGCTTCACTCAACAATGAGACGGCACGTCATATTTCTAATCCGCCGCCCAATTCCATGACATCTGACCTGAATTGCCCGCAGAACGGTGTCTCTAGCCCCTCCATCTCGGGAACAATGACCGCCAGCAAGATGCCCGTCAACAATTCTCTGAATCCAGCGTGGAGGGATACTGTCGTCCATCTCATCACGAAACAAACCTGGGATGATACCGTCCCCGAGGAGATGGTCAACCAGGCAATCCAAAAAATGACGTACGGGAAAGGATATGCGTTGCGCCAGCTTGCGCCTGATTCAGGTGCCTATTTCAATGAGGTCTGCCCACTGTCGCGACCATCAAATGTATATTCGACTTCACCGCTAACAGCTTCCAGGCCTATGAATACGAGCCCCCCTGGCAGTCGTCGCTCTTTGGATCCAACTGCCCGCGCCTGCTCTTCGTCAAACAAAAGTACGACCCTGACAGTGTGCTCTGGTGTCCGCACTGCGTCGGCAGTGAAGCTTGGGCTCTACGGGGAGATGGAACGCTGTGCCAGGCTTTGTGAATGTTTTGACAACACACTCACCAGCCACAAACAGCTTACCCGATTCAGGACAGACTAAATTCATACTCTTTGGTCGCAGTCGGGGTGATAAAAGGTTTCAGCTCGCGATAGAAAAGCTTAGAGTTGATCCTGGGGTGTTTTGAGCGAAATTATATTGCCAATGGTATATTCGAGGAAGGAAGGGAGGTTGGACAGCCACTCAAGATTGATTCTGGCCGAAAGAGTAAGAGATTGAGAAAAGAAAATTCATCATGAATATCGATCTCCTGCCAACGGTTATAAACAACCGTGTGGAGGTCCTGCAATGCACGCGAAACCATCATCAAATCAGAACATCAAGATACATGTAGAAGAAACCCTACTCCATACGCCTCAAGCCTGAGCAACGCCCAATTGCTGATCCATTACACCCCGCACCATATCCTCCCAAGACCGCCACTGCATTCCCAACTCCGTTTCAGCTTGGGTAGTGTCAGTGGGCATGGAAGCACCCTCCGCCCGCTCTGACAACTTCACCCCAACACCAGGATACAATCTGCGCGCAATACCCGCCACCTCTTTCCACGTCGTCCGCGGCCCAGAGAGCAGATATCTCGAACCGTCTTTGATCGCAGGGGCAAGCGCCTTGACATGCGCCTCCGCAACATCTTGGATGTGCACCCCGGTGATTCCTCCAACCGGGACGCCCCCCATCACGCTCCCCCATATAATGCGATTCGACCCGCTCACTTCCTCGCCGGGATCCTGCACCAGATTGCGCCCGAAGACGAATGCCGGGTGGAGGGTCACGAGTGCGTAATGCGGGCGGTCCGTCTTCCAATATTCCCACGTCGCGTTGTTCGCGAGCAATTTGGACGCGCAGTACAATGTCATTGGTGTTGCGGCGGGGTTAGCGGGATCAACGAAATCGGCGGCTGGGTCGACGTTCAGATCCCAGTTGTTATCCTCTAGATGATGTTAGGATACTGTATACTCGAACCAGGTGAAAGCTGTAGCAGCGAAATCCATACCTCTCACAACGCCGCCATCCGGAATCCCAGAAAGAGGAACCAAGGACGCGATGGAGGACGTGACGACCACCTTCTTGATGCTCGGCACCCGAGCAGCCTCCTTGAGGACAGACAGCGTTCCTTTCACGGCCGGGGGAAAGAACGCTTCCTTGTCTGTTCCCTTGGCCAGAGGGGATGCGAGATGAAGGACGTAGTCTACGCCATCCAGCTTCCCTGCAAACGCAGCCTCGTCGGTGAGATCTGGGATAGTGACGTATTCCACTTGGCTCTGATGGTCTGACAATAACCGGTCGAGTTTCTCTGATTTTTTGCGAACGCCGATGCGGAGTCGGTAGCCGGACTTGAGGGCTTCGATGGCCGTGGCGCTGCCGATGAAGCCGGTCGCGCCGGTTATGAAGATTAATGGGGCAGTCATGATATATGGAGACTTGAAAAATAAGATTTTGTTGAATCGGGAATTGATTGGCTTTTATACGAGGGAGTAGACTAATCATTAATTCCATGCGGCCTCGGATTGGAACAGATCAGTAATCAAATAATCCATGCATGAATGGTGATGCAATTGAGAAATCTCATTCAATAAAGACTCAATGTTCCAGCAAGGCTTTTTGAGGATATTGATCATACATCAGTTTGATTTCCACTAGGAGCGGTCTTTTGTAATGTTGTTGACAACATGTTGCATGTTGCATGCTTCACGGAGTCCTCTCCCGAGGTCGGCCACCATAACTACTTCATATACAGCTTGTCCGTTTCAAGTCCTTGCTAATATCAATCAGCCGGCTGTATATATGTGAAGTCTGTCCGGGTTGCAAGGTAATTCTTTTCTTATTCACACCGAAACTACTCTATCAACCATGAAGATGGGTTCTAACCCTCGACTCCTTATTAGACAACAACATGTTTAGGCAATAACATTGCATCGCAGTAGTTCAAGCTAATGCAGTGTCGGGAAGATATGAACTCAATGTTCCAGCATCGGGCTTATCTTCAAATGACCTCCTCGTTCTCCATTTGAATGGCGGCTGGTCATATCTGATGCCTACTGCCACTGGGACTTTGTGGTGTAATATCCTACCCCTGAATCGTTTATAAGGTCAGGTATCCTACTGCCAGAGTTTAGGTCGTCCGGGTTGTGGGTGGTGCTGTACTTAGGTGTTGTGTTGCTGTCGTGATGATTCTCAGAAGCTTCCTACCTACTTAGTAGTGTTCTGCAGTGAGGAAGAGATGAGACTCCGCCCTAGGTAACCACCGCACTGCTAGGAAGTATCGCGGGAACATCCAGCTCCTACTCCATGACCTGTGGAAGACATAATTTACTGATGAAACCAAAACTTGGCCGTACGATCGCTTCCTCGACCATGTCATATCGAAAATCAATAACAACGGTCTGCCAGAAGGTCTCTACATCAACATTTGCAACGAATCAGAGTAGGGATGCTAGGAGCGGCCCCAAGCGCAATGGCTTGATCTGTATGGAAGGGCTGTTCAACGCTTTCGGTATGGCTTCGTCGTAACCTATCCATATTCAACCTACCCCCTGGAAAGTGTCAAGATTGAATTCTTCCCGTTACCTCGCGTCTAGTTTCGATCCCAACTTGGGGAGCCTTCCGGCTATCGGCTCATCGATTCCCCTCCCTTCGGCTGAGGACTCATACCGTACTGGGTGCACTTTCATGCGCACATTGCGGCTAGCGATACGGCCCCTGATCTATACACGTGGAACCACATTGAAGCCCTAAATAATCCACTTAATGGTCTTCAGCATAGTCTTGTCAGAATCAGGACTATGCGCGAAGCAGTCGGAGAACCAAAAAGACCAGTCAGAAGAATGCTGTCAAGGTCAATCCGGCAGCAACTGTATGGCATCTCTCGCACTTTGAGATATGACACGGCAGGCCTTTGACCAAACTGACGTGGCGGGCCTAATGGAAGCTATCTCCGAGACTTCCTGGCCAGTTTGGTATCGCAAGACAACAAAGATATCCCCATCGCCCCAACGGTGATACTAACGTGACGGCGTATCCAGTTGGGACCACTGGATCTAGCGATCACCAATTAAATGAGTATGCAATTGTTGGCGAAGACAGGTTCAAGCGCTGGATGATGTACAAGTGAACACTGGAACATGGGTCCTTAAATTGAAGAATCTCAGCGCCGTAGGGGTACCTTTTCCCGGCCAGCTGAGCATTCAGATAATATATAGGAAAATTAGGCGGTATTTCACGCTAGGGGCAACCCCAAGTAAAGATATCTTATTATAACGATTTATTTTGTCCGAAAGGAAACGCCCTTCCTTACAATAGTGTCGAGTTGGCGCATTCAATTTGCGTAGAAAAAGAAGGCCGATTCGCGAAACACTGCTACCTCCTGTAATCTTGGTTAGCCAAACATTGCCGAGCCGTTCTGGGTCCTGACAGGAAGCAGATCATCCATCCCGGATGCCTAGGCGATGCATACTGTGTACTGCTTGTTCTGCTGGCTCACAAGGCTGGCTGGTCTATCAAGACGGGCCAGCCCTGTGGGCGTTTCTTGTTTCCTCCGATCTTGTCACATTCCTTTTCAACCTTCATTCTTTATCTCGTTGCCTTTGTTGTTTCCTGCCTATATCGTTCTCTCCAAAGACCGGCCTTTTCATCATGAAAGCATTAGCAACTCTCCTCGCTGCTGGTTCAGCGCTCAACGGGGCTACTGCCCATTACTTCTTCCCCAATCTCATCGTCGACGGTGTGACGACCGAGTACTTCGAATACGTCCGCGAAGATACCCAGGGCTACATGCCCTACAAGAACGGCTACCAAAGCACAGACTTCCGGTGCAACGTTGGCTCGGAGGACTTTGCTCTCCAGACAAAGACCTGCACCGTCAAGGCGGGTGCCACCGTTGGCTTCGCAACCGATTTCGGCGCTCAAATCCAACACCCCGGTCCGTTGCAGGTCTACCTGTCCCGAGCCCCAGGGAATGTGTCATACTACGATGGGTCAGGCGAATGGTTCAAAAATCTACGAAATCGGGCCCTCGGCGTTCACCAGCGACGGGATCGAATGGGGGGTCACTGGTTTGGATCAAATTACCTTTGGAATCCCGGACGCGACACCGGCTGGACAATACCTGCTGCGGATCGAGCACATCGGCCTTCACGGGGCGTCTGTGTACGGAGGCGCCGAGTTCTACTTCAACTGCGCCCAACTTGAAATCCTCGGTGATGGTACGGCGACTCCAGGGCCTACCGTCCTGTTCGCTGGAGCCTACACCGGATACGAGCCTGGCATCCTGTTCGACATGTACAGCAAGCGATTTGTGAATTATACCATGCCTGGGCCGGCGGTTTGGCCGGCTGGGATCTCGAGCAATATTTCTGCTGACGGCGCCATCCATGTGCCTGATGATGATTCCTCTTGGTCTTTCGCGGCGGTTACTAGCATTACGGGCTTTGCATCCTCCACCTCTGCACGCATTTATCCGTCATCGGTTCCTCTGTCTGTCACCCCTACGTCTTCCAACATCCGTTCAACAGGCATACCTGAGCCGACTGAATCCGTCAATCCGGAACAAAAGTCCTCCCATGCCCACCTCCATGGCAAACATGGCCACAAGTCCCACTGCCGCGCCCGATAAACAGTCATTCCTAGTCCTCGTTTGTGGGTTCAGCCACGACATTTGCAAACCTTGCACTATCTACCGTCTCTCACCGTAGGTGATTTTGCAGTCGGTTGACTTGGCATTATCTATATGGAGACTCTAAATACATGAGCCACAGTAAAGCCAGGTTTTCGCCCTAACTTCAACTCGGCCTTCATTCCTTGTGTGCATTCTGCCTTCATTTTAGTTTCAGCGTGTACCCAAAATAGCCAGTTGCGGTTAGGGCGTGCTGGAAGTGGGTGCCTGAGGCCACCGGCGGCCTTAGGGCTCCGGTGAAGGAAGGTTTTTCCAGCCTAAATAACTACCTATAAAACTTTTTATTTATCCCTAGAATATCTAGCTTAGTATATTATATAATATAAAAAACTTTTACTTATTATAATTAATTATTTTTTTTAGTAGATTATAAGCCCGGGTTTACTTAACTTATATACTTAATTAAAAGTTTTTTTTTTTTAAGTTAACCTATACTAACTAAATATATAATATTTTTTTATTTTATTTATTTAGCTTTATATTTCTTTTTAACTTTACTAGTTATTATAATAATTAAAAAGCCTTATATTTAAAGCAAGGCCTTTATTACTAGGGTATAAATATTATAACTTTATTTTATTTTATATTAAATTTTTTATTTTTTTTTACCTTTTTAATTAATTTTTAACTTTGTAAACACCCGCTCCCTAGGGCTAAATATATTTAATTTTTTAATAAAAATAAGTTTTTTTTAGTAACTAAAAAGTTTTAAAATTTTTAAAGGTACTATAATACCTTTAGGTTCCCTAATTTAAACTTTAATTTTAACTATTTTTTAAAAATTTAAATTAACCTTTAAACTTTTAACTAGCTATCCCTAGTTATTAACTTTTTTTTTTTATAACTATCCCGGTATAAGCTTTAGTTTATTTAACCTTAACCTTATTATAGTAACTTCTTAGGCCTTATTATTTTTAATTACCTTAGGTTTTTAATCCCTAAGCGCTTTAATCCCTAGCTTTTAAATTATTTTAATTTTTTTATTATTTAGTTTTTTTATATTTAGTTTTTTTATATTTAGTTTTCCTATACTAAGCTAAAATAAAAAAAATAACCTTAATTAAAATAAAAAACATCCCGGTTTTAATATTAAAAAACTAGTAGGTTAAATAAAACTAGTAAATATTTTTAAAGCTTTAAAAGGCTAGCTATAACTATTTTTTAAAGTAATTAAATTAAAAATATTTTATAAAAACTCTTACTAGTCCCTTTTTTATTATACTAGCACTAGTAAGCAAAAATATTAAAACTTTTAGTTAATAATTTATTATAAGCCAAGCTAAAAATATAAGTATTAATAATAAAGTTTTAGTTACTATTATATTTTTTATATAGCCTTTTACTTAACTTATTATTAAGATTATTACCAAGCCCATGCTACTAGTAAATTATAATAAGGCTAAAATTTAATAGTAAAACTAGGACCATGCCGTGGCCTTAATTTTTAGTTATTTAAGGTTTAATTTATAAAATATTTTTATTAATAAGTAAATAATATATAAGCTACTTAATAAGATTAAAAGCTACCTTAAACCTAATATTAATATTATAATTTTTAAGGCCTGGGCTAATTTAATATTTTTATTTTATAATAAAACTATTTTTAATTTTAGCAAGAAACTTAGGGAGATTTAGCAAGAATTTACTTATATTAGTATTACTTTTTTAATTAAACTTATTATTACTGCTTTTTACCAAGCCTTAGGTAATTAATTTAATTATTTTAAGGCTATGTACTTTAATAATCATATTATTAAATATTTTTTAAAAAATACTATTATGCTAATTACCTTTTTAAATAACTTTATAATTATTACTAAATTTATTAAATTAAACTAAAACTAGGGCACTAGTACCCTAGCGCTTTTTTTTAATAAAATATTTAAGCTTAATATTAAATATTATAAAAATTATTTTAATATTATTTAAATATATAAAAACAAGGGTACTATAAATATTATTATATATTATTATTTTTATTATAATATATTATTTTATAACTAAAAAACCTACTATTAACTTTATTTTAAGCTTAAAATTACTTAAAAAAACTTTTAGGGTGGCAAGGGCGTTAAGCACCCTTAAAAAAATTTTAAATTTAAAAAAAATATAAAGCTTATATTTAAGCTAGTGCTTATAGCTTAAATTAACTTAAATTTTAAATAAAAGATTATTTAAAATAGCCTTATTTAATAAATTACTTTAAATAATAATTATGCCTAATATATTACCTATAATTACTTTTTATTTTAAAACCTTAAGCCTTATACTAGCCCTAGTATTAAGGGTATTAATTTTAAAGTTTTTAATACCTAGGGTATTAATATTATTAAAATTTTTTATTATATTAATAACTAGCTTAAAATTTTAGCTTTAAATAATATTTTATACTACCTTAATATATTTTTTATATTAATTTTTATTTTTTAATTACTAAATAAGCACTGCTTAGTTAGCTTTAGCTAATAAAATATAAAAGTTAAAAAGCTATAAAATACTAATATTATTATTTTATATAATTATAAATTAGTATAATACACGGCCTTTAAAGTTTACAAAGTATTTTTTTAACTTTTACTAGGGCCTAGTAATACTAGCTATTTTTATATTAATAACTTTTATTTTTTAAAATAAGTTTTTTTAGCTCTAGCACTAATAAATAAGCTATATTTTTAAAAATTAACTTAATAAAATAAAAAAGGTAATTTATAATATATATATACTTAAAGGCTATATTTATAAATTTTATATTATTACATACTAGCAGGCTAAGCCTTATAAAGGTATTATAATATTTATTAATTAATTATTTAAATTATTTTATATAAATATTTTTAGTTTATATTTACTTTTATTTAATAAAAAGGTATATATTAACTTTATTATAAATAATAAATTTTATTACTACTAGGTTATAGTACTAGCAAGTAAGAATAAATTTATTATTTAAGCTTTTTTTATTATTTATTAATATAACATGCCTAAACTCCTACTGCGCCGCGTACGCTGTAATTAAAAAAGAAAAAATATTTATAATTTATAATACCTTATTTATAGCTTTGGAGTTATTATAAAAATATTTAGTATAAATTAATATAAATAAAATAACTATACTAAAGTATTTATTAGCAAGCTATTTAGCCTTATATAATTTATATTATATAATACTAAAGCCCTAGCTAATATATAATTTAAGTTTTATAAAAATACTAGTTATTTATATAATTAAACTTTATATTTTATATTAAATAATATTATATTATTTAAAGCCTAGTATAGCTATTAATTAAATATTTTTTATATTTATATTTTTTAGTTTAAGGTTTATGTTTTAAACCTACTAAAAAAGTAAAAAAAGCTTTATAAAAATAGTAAAATAAAAACTAAAAGGCTAGTTAAGTTTAATAAAAAAATAAATAAGTTATACTAAGTTTTCCTGGATAATAGCTATATAATTTTAATATATAATATTAATATTATTAAGGATTACTATATTAGGCTAGATTTTTTAAAAGTAATTACTTTAGCACCTTTAAAAACCTTTATTTTTAAGGCCTTACTAGGAGTTACTAAAACTTTAAGCCCTCCAGGGATTTTTATTTTTAAAACCTTATTTTTAAGCCCTTTAAAAACCTTTATTTTTAAGGCGCTTAAAGCACATATTTTTTTAGGAATTCCTATTTTTAAAACTCCCGCCTTTTTAGGGATTTTTATCCCTAAAAAAGCACTAGCCAACACTAACCTAAATACTAAAAAAACCTTAAAAATAAATTTTTAAAAAGCCTAGCTTTTAAGGGCCTTTTTAGGTATATAAACCCTAAAAATTTAGTAGTAAAAGCTATTAATTTAGTTACTAAAGCTAATATATTTTTAAAAAATTTAAATTTTAGTTATAATACTAGCCCGGTGTACTATATATATATTTAAGCTATTATTAATTTTAAAAAAGCTTTTTAAATCCTGGATAAGCTAGTTTATTTATTTTATTTTTAAGATATTATTAAAGCCACGTGAAATAGGATTACCCTAGCTAATAAACCTTATTTAAATAACCTTTAAGTACTAGCTAGCAAGCCTAGCTTAAATAATATTTTAATACTAGTTATAATACTTTATAAGTAAATTTTTAAAAAAAATAAATTAATAATTTAATAAGCTAAAATTAAAAATAAATAAAATAAGTGGTTTAAGGGCATGTAAAAAAAATATAATTTTTTAATAAAAAATAAGACCTAAAATTTTATTAACTTACCCTTTAAAAAATACTTACTTTCTAGTAAATAAGTTTTAAAAATTAAAAAAAAATTAAAAAACTAGATCCTTTGCTATAAAGCTTACTAAATAATTTATAACTTTAAGTAAGTTTATAAGCTTAATTATTATAAAACTTTTACTAAGGTAATAAAGCTAATAAGCTATAAGCTTTTATTTATTATTATTACCATGCTAAACCTTAAAATTAAATAAATAAATATAAAAATAGTATTTTTATATAGGAATATTAATATTATAATTTTTATAAAATAGCCTTACTTTTTTACTAATAACTTTAAATATGTTTACTAGCTTTAAAAGGTTTTTTATAGCCTAAAGTAAATACTATAAATTTAATATTAATTATTTATAAATTTTTTAGCTATGCTAGGCTTTTATTTTATTTATTTAAACCTAGGAGTTTTTACTAATAATAAAATTTTTATTATTATATATATAAATAATTTTTTGCTAGTTAATAAAAATAAAGCCTAAATTTAAAGAATTAAGAATACCCTAAGTAAGTACTTTAAAATATTTAATTTTAGCCTTTATTATTATTATTTTAGTATAAAGGTTTACTAGGATTAGGCTAATTAAATACTTTAACTTTTTTAACTTAGTTATATAAATAAAAATTTTTACTAGTTTAGCATAAATAATTTTAAGGTTTATAATATATTAATAAATTCTTGCTTAAAGCTAAAACCTGCTCCTAAGAAGTACTTGGCTTTAATAAATATTTTAAAGTAATATTAAAGTGCTATTAAGTTTTTAATATACTTTATACTAGGTACTTAGGCTAATATTACCTATTTTATATTTATTTTAAGCTATTTTTTATTAAACCTATAAAAAAACATGTGGTAGCTATTAAGCGCGTGTTTTACTATTTTTAAAACTTTATAAATTATAAATTAATATTTTTTAGGAATTTTTAGCCACTAATTAGCTATATTAATATTAATTAAGGTAGTAACCTAAAAACATGCTATTTTATTTTTAAATATATATTTTATATAGGCTTTATAATTATTAACTAGTTTTTTAAGTATTAGCCTATTATAGCTTTATTTTTTTATAAAGCTAAGTATATAAAAAAAATATAAATTATTAAAAAAGCTATTTAGCTTTGCTACTTACTAAAAAAGCTTATAAATACTTAAAAGGTAAATTTTATAATTATTATAATTTATAAAAATAATAAAAATATTATAATACTAGCTAGTAACCCCTAATTTTATGCCTGGAGTAAGTATATTAATATTTAATATTATTTTATTTAAAAAAAAAGGCTAAAGGTATTATTAATATTTAGTTTATTTTTATTAAAAAATAAATAATAAATAGCCTTATTAAGCTACTAGGGCCTAAGGCATTTAAATATTTTAAAGCCTTATTAAAAATTTTTTTTAAATTTATATAAGTAGGTTTTTTAGTAGTTTTTATATTAAAATTAATTTTTTTTATACTAAACTTATAATAACTTGTGTATTATAAAACTATATTTAATTATTTTTATTTTTAGCTTATTATTATTTTATTTTTATTTTTAGAAATTAACCCTACGGTAAAGGTAATATAATATTATTTTATTTTAAAATCTTACCTTAGTTTTATATAATACCTTAATTATAATACTAAAAGTTAATATATTTTTAGCCTAATTTAATAAAATCCCTGGTGCTTTTTATATCTACCCGCAAGAGATTTTATTTTTAAATATTAAAATATAGGCTTACTAGCGTGATTAGCTTATTAATTACTTTAATTAAAATTTTTATTTAATATTTTTTTAGGCTTTAAAGCACGGCTATACTATATAATTAACAGCCTTTAAAATTTTAAAACTTTTTTAAATTAAGTAGCCTAATAATATTATTAGCTTTTAATATATATAAGTTATTATGGTAATCTTATTCCCTAATAAAAAAGGTTTAAAAAAAATATTATTATTTAGGATTATAATTTTTATTATAATCCCGCTAGCCTACACCCTAAAAACTTTATATTTAGGGCTTAATTATATTTATTATAGCTACTAGGCTAATATTATATTATTTAAAATATATAATATTATATTAATACTAAGTTTTTTTAAAAAAATTAATATTTAAAATATATATTTTAATAAATTTAATATATTATTATACTAGGTAATTTACCTTATATTAAAAATTAAGATTTTTAAATAACTTATTATATACTAGTCTGCTACTACTAGCTAATACTTTTTATATAAACTAGGCCTTAAACTTACCCCTAAAATAGCTTTTATATACTTTAATATTTATTATTACTTTTTTAATTATAAAAAAATTATATAATTTATAAAAAAGCTAGTAAATATACTAGTTAGCCCCTAAATTTATAAATTACTTAACTTATTATTTATTATTTATTTTATTTTTAGGCCACCCGGTGCCCGGAGTTTTTATTAAAAGTTTATTATTTTATAATTTTATTATTATTTATTTATATTTTTAGGAACTATTTTAGCCTATTAATACCTAAAGCTTTTATTAATACTTATTATTTTTATTATTTTAATTACTAGCTTTTTAATACTTATTTATAAATTATATTTTTAAAAAAGCTTTTTTTAGTGCTAATAGCCTATAGTTTATTAATTTAAAAAAAACTTTTTTTATGCTAGTAGCCTATAGCTTATTAATTTAGGGAAGTTTTTAATATAAATAAAAAAAAGTATTAAAAATAAGTACTTAAGGCTACCGGCGGCCTTAGGGCTTTAATAAAAAAAGGTTTTTTTAGCCTAAATAATCCCTTGTAAAACTCTTTATCCATCCCTAGAATATCTAGCTTAGCACATTATATAATATAAGAGACTTCTACCTACTATAACTAGTCATTCCTTTTAGTAGGGCGCATCTCATACACCACGAATCAATTCTCTTATAACAAATTCTGCCCATTTTAGTACACTGTGTCAGGAGGCAGAGCATCACCAATGCACAAATAAATCCAGACGCCAGATTACGCAACATAGACATAGAAGTAAATACCGTGAACATGGAAGAAACCTGTCATCTAACTAACATATGACCGTCCACCCATTCAATAATCTATACAACCCGCTTATTCCTACACGCAGTTCGCTCGCAGTTCCCCAATTTGCCATCCGCTCGGCCCTGCCCTTCAACTCATCCACCAGCTCAATCCCAGCCCTAGCCGCCTCGTCCAGATCCTCCTCGGGCAATCCCAGCACCCCCCAGGTCCCTCACAGGCACCAGCAGAGATCTTGGAACCCTAACATTCCTCCAATTACCTCTTTGAATCGGTCCATCTATTCCCTTGGATGAGCTTTAGATAATGGTACCTTTTGTTCTCCCGTCACCCTTGACCGCGCCGGCACAGGGGTAGGGTTGATTCTCTCCGTGCATTATGAGGAGGTCGGGAAGCTGCATGCCGGGCTTGAGCTGATACCAGGCCGCTATCGAATCTGGCAGGTATGTTTACTGATTTATTTAGTCTGGGCTCTTAGGCTTGCAGATCAGGGTCAGAGTTGCACTCCGAGGACACAGTATTGCGCTAGTCACGAACCTGGACTGGGCAATCACATGGAGAGGCATTGTTCACAGGAATACATGTGTTGCCCTGGGCCCAAGGTTGAAGCGGCGAAGAATCTGCGAGATGCTGAGGCTAGCATAGGGTTAGTTATCGTTGTGAAAAACCATGTCTGTTCCTTGCGCGAGTCTTGGCTTGGACGGAAATAAAGAATATCTATAACCGTACTGGAGAAGAAACTCACCTCCCCAAAGCCCCAAAAACCCCCAGAGATCACTGCAGCTCCTGCACCCCACCCTCACCCCAAGCTCCTGCGCCGGAGCAACCGCTGCCTTGGGTCCCTGCCGTCCAGAAGGACCCTCAAACTCATATACCTCCCCCGGTCTCTGTCTCTGCCCACCCCGAGCCCCCGTCCCCTCTATATGACTATACGCCTTGCTCCTCCCCGCCCGCACCCACATCGCAATCAACCCAACAGTCGCAGCTACCAGAGGCACACCAAGTCCAACCCCCAATCCAACACCCAACGCCACATCGTCACTGCGCGTAGAAGAGCCGTCCGTCTCCGTGTCTGTCTCCGTGTCGTTCGACGCCGGCCCAGCAGAAGCCCCAGGACTGGAGGAGGAGGAGCTGGAGCTGGAGCTGGAGCTGGAGCTCTCGACCAACTGCGCCACGGAAACATGCCCCTCCTGCCAGTTCACCGTCGATGCATTCTCCGCGCAGAAGCCCGTCACCCAGCCTGCCTTCCCGCACGTCATCACCTGGTTCGGGTTTCCGGGGCACGGGTAGATGTTTGCCCAGCCGTTGGGGACTTCTGCGGGTGTGGAGGAGCAGGGTGATCAGTATGATATCCGATTGTATGAGGAGAGGAGGGTAGGGTAGGGTAGTGGCTCACCGGTATGACAGACACGAGGACACTCAGCAGCAGGCCAGTTCTGGTCTGTGCAGGCACCGCGGTAGGCGATGTTGTACCGGGCGCCGAAGCACAGGCGGTTGCTTAGGCATGCTTCGCCGGTTAGGCAGCAGGCGCTTGAATTGGGGCAGGCCTGGTAGTCGTTTGCGACGTTGCCGTTGGGCCAGAAGCAGGGTGGTGTTTGGGCGAGGATTGGGGTGAATGGATGTGAATGTTAAGAGCAGCGAGGCTACCTGCATGATGTGGTCGGGTGGTTGAAGAGTCCCGAGGGAGTTTGCCGGGGATTCAATGGTTGGCGGGGCCCAGCTGGATCTTTATACGAGTTCGTGTTGCTGGGTGTGATGGTGATGGTGCAGGCGGTTACTCGGACAGCCGCATATAGGTAGGGGTATTGCTATGTCACTGTGAGCATCACTGACTTCTAGACACTGGCTAGTAAAGAAGATACGGGTTGACAGTGAACCCTGTGGATATTAGCCCAGGCACAGAGTGTACCCTAATGCCCGAATGACAAGGTATGGGATGAAGGACAAGCGGACTTTGCCCGGGCTGCTCACCTGGTTTGCAGTGTCTTCATCTTAAGCCTTGTGTGACTGTCTTGATACACGCAGCCTACCAATGGCAGTTGAGCGCTTATTGTTGTCCAACCGACTATGAGCCTCCTTGGTCGACCAGATGTCGTACAACAGGACGACAGGCGCCTAGTCACAGCCACTCAACAGCCCCCGTCTGTTGGTGAGTTCAGGGTAATCAGCTACTAGACGCCAGATATCTGTTTCCCAGGCTTTACCTTCCGACTGGCCCAAAGCTCCATTCCCAAGTGCATGGCTATTACATCTCCACTTCAATTTGCCAACAATCATAGCGAGCAAAGGCATGATTCATGGTCATTCATGCGCAAATGCCGATAACACAAACATAATGTCATTCCGGACAATATACATTGATTCAATTCATGTCGAGGCTATCAGGTCGAGAAGGCCACGAGCATAACCTGTCCAAGACATAATTCAGACCTTCTCTTCCTGCGAGACTCGTCCTTCGTCCACATGCACACTACCAATAGCCGCCTTCTCCGCCAACTGCTCAACACGCTGGTCGAGCCCAACATCCGCCCGCGCCTGCGCCATCATAGCAGCATCCTCCGCCCCAGTTCGACTTCCAAAAACCCGATCCATCTCCTCAAGCGACGCCCCTTTCGTCTCAGGCAGGAAGAACCAGACCCACAAGATGCCGGCGCTCAGGAACCCCGCGAACCAAATGTACGTCCCGTACGCCCACATGTCAAACATATCGGGCGTGTAGAACGCCACGGCGAAGTTGTTAATCTACACGCAATGCTAATTAGCTTTCGCGGTTGACATGGCGGGTGCAGGTGCAGGTGTCTCTTACCCAGTTACTCGACGCCCCGAACGCAGCGCCCTTCGAGCGAATCGACAGCGGGAATATCTCAGAGACCAGCGTCCAGCTCACGGGGCCCCAGGTGGCGCCGAAGCAGCCGATATACAGCCAGATGCACGCGCACGCGGCCCAGCCTGCTGCGGAGTGGCTGGCCCAATCGTGTCTGCATTTGGCGACGATTACCGCGACGATGATCATGAAGATGAGCATGAAGAAAGACCCGACGATGAGCATGGGCTTTCTGCCGAACTTGTCGATCACGAGCATGCCGGGGACTGTGAAGACCAGGAAGAAGACGCCCGTGATTCCGGTTGCGAGGAGGGCCGTGGTGCCGCCGGTCATGCCCAGGTCTTCGAACACGTTCGCGGCGTAGTAGAGGATTGCGTCGATTCCTGGTGAGCAGTGTTAGTTAGATTGACGTTGGGGGTTGAATTTGGCTTAGCGGACCACTCCATTGCTGCCAGAACATAACGAGCCACGCTGTCGAGACTCGTTTAAATGCATCCCATTTGCGCAGAATATGCCAGTACTGCGCCAGCTCGCGCATGATGACGCTCTGCTTCTCCTTCTCGGCGAGTCCGGGGAAAGCCTTGGCGAAGGCGCGTTGCTCGAAGAGGGTCTCGGCCTGGATCTCCTTGTGCTCCAGGTCAATCATGGGGTGGTCAACGGGGAGATTGCGGATGTAGGCCAGTGTCTTGCGCGCTTCCTCGTCCCTGCCTTTCTTCGCGAGCCATCGGGGCGAGAATGGGAGGAACCAGACCCCAACCATCAGTAGAGCAGCCGGAATGCCTTGGATGATTGATGGCAGCTGCCAGGCGAGGTTCGTTTGGGTCTCCCCTGTGCCGCCCATGTGCATGTTGCTCGAGTAGCCCACCCAGAACGCGAGGAACATGCTAGCGGCTGTCAGCGGGCATTGGGATTCATCAGGAAGAGCAGACATACCCGAGAATGGTTGCGAATTGATAGAATGAGACGAAGAAGCCGCGCATCGAAGGTGTTGCGAGTTCGGCGTTGTATAGCGGCCTGGGCCTCGTTAGTCACGGCCCGCGGCTAGGAAAATCAGGTCCACGTACCCCACGCCACTGAAGGTGCCAACACCGACGCCGGTGAAGAATCGCCCAGCATAAAGTAAAGAAGGGTCATGGTACTTCGCGCCGATGTATAGGTAGCTGCCGAGGACGACCCAGCAGGCTAGACAAAACATGAGCACAGAATCTCTAGACACTGAAAAGAGAGAAGAGAACATACAAGCCATGAACATGGTGTACTTCCTCGAGAAGATCTCTCCAAGTATACCAGCAGTAAGCGACCCAAAGAGACCTCCAAGCTGCAAAACCGAAGTCAACCACCCCGTAGCGCTAGTGGAGTTGACCACGGACGGAAAGTTGTCTTTGAAGCGGTACATGACGAGCGACTGGCCGAGGACTCCCTGCTGATACCCATACTCGAAGCCTCCCAGCGACGCGAAAAAGGCAATTACCAGCAGCTTCGGATTATCAAGGACATGGCGCCACCGGTTCTGGTAAAGAGACTTCTTGCGCTCCTCGTGCGCGGCAACGTCAACGGGATCCATGCTGCGGTTCTTGTGTACGGCGCGAAACTGGATTCATGAGCTGAATCTGGGGACCGGGGCCTTTTTGACTACCCCGTGGAGAAGCCGGCAATGACGCGGGGAGCAGCGACTCCAAGCGGAGCGAAACGCGCCATGCCGTGATTTCTGCACAAGCAGCGGGTGCCTGTTTTGCTCGAGTCTGGAGTCCAGCGTCTAGAGCTTCCCCTTTGGATAACTGGACGACGCCTCGTTGGAACTAGGATCAACTAGGGCATGATTTGTCTGGCCGGCGCATAGCCTCGGGCTTAATCCTGCCTAAACGATGGGGTCGGAATTCCCCCGATGTGACGGTCACACGGTGTCAATTGCGGAGCCCCGGGTTTCACCACCCAGGCTAAGGCCTTTTCCGCGAATGCTTGAGCTCGGACTTTCAGCCCTGACCCCTCGGCTGATGGTGGGGTGATCAGGTCAGGAAACCAGGAATCCTTGGGCCGACGCCCGCTTAAATACTCCACGTTGGTATCGTCGGTGCGGGGATGAGACACGCCAGGGAGCTGCCATTGGTGATTTTAGAGACTAGACGGCCGATGCATGCTTGGCAGTGTCAGTCCTGCGTCTGAGTGAAGAAACGGAATGATGAGAAGGGAAGGATTAGCCGCTAGCAGGGTTAGGAGAGGGAAGCCCTACGCTCGAAGTGTTCTCCCAGTCCTTTCTGGTTAACATCGCTGGTTATCCACGCCAGGCCATGCAAAGAACCATGGTTGAATGTCGACTTGGTCAAAGCATGACTTCAATAGGTTTGACCAAGACAGGACTGACAACTCCTGCTCGCAACTCTTTTCCGAGCTTGTGCCATGGTCGGAGACGGACATGTTGCCCGCGAGAATCATATATCCAATGGTAGGTGCCGCAGATCGAATGCCACCATGATTCACTGCCAGCAGGATGTCCAAACGGTCGTCAGGACTAGTCTGCCAGATCTGCAAGGATGTGTTCAGCGATGACAGCGACGCGTTAGACAAGAACCCACGCGTTCCCCGGATCTTCGACCAGCGGCCTGAGTGGCGCCAGGCGCTCACCGAGTCGGGATGCGTCGAGGTGGACATATCGGATCTTGCAACCACGTATTTCACTATCCCCTGGCATTGGAAATGCTTTGGCTTGGGAAGTATGCTTGTCGCCCAGCAGCTCAGCTAGGTTGTATAAGTGCTAACGCCGCAAAGTTGGAATAAATGAACACGGCCCCTTCGTTACGGGAGTCGGTCTCCCCAGCTCGCTCCCACAAGATCCACACGAATGTACTCTGATCGGAGACCGAGATCGAATGTTAGCGAAGAGTAAACGCGACGTCCACCAGACGGTCTCGCCCAAAAGCGCCACAGATCAACCGCACCATTGCGTCTACCTCATACACCAGCGATGCTACGCATTGTCGTTACGGGTTCTTGGGGCGGACCTGGTCGAGGAGTACCCAGTTGCGTTCGCTGAAGCCGCAAAGCAGGTGTGGGATTCGTATATCGCACACTTGATAGCTCGGTTTCGGTTTCACAAATACGACGACGAGTTTGAGTGGAAGAAGATGGGGAGGAAGAAAGGCAGATATTATGATCTAGTCCTCGACGATGAGGCAGCCATTATTGCGAAATATTCAAGGGGCTGGAGGTGCGATGACAGGGTTTTTGCCTTACGGGACCCCCTCAAGGTGGATGAGGTTTGGCACAGCATTCGAGCCGGGGAGAGAGCTTTCCGTGAAGCATCACAAAGGGAGCGAGCCATCACACTCGGGCTCCCATGCCCAGCGACCAGGCGGCGCAGCCGGAGACTACGACCCGCCTTCGGTCTGGAGATCCCATGCGAAATTATCCTTGAGATTCTGGACTATTTTCCGACGGTGCGCGAGGTGAGACTGCTCATGTGGGCGTTTCCTTATTGGGCCATCAGAGTCCCGGGTCGCTATTGGCGAAGACGCTTCATAGTGGACTTTATGATTGAGGACGAAGACGACCGGATTCCGGGTCCAACGGCGCTCAATTGGCGTCGTCTGTATTACAAGTCTGAGGGTATCTCATCTCATGGGCTGCGGAACCGAAAGCGAATTCTCTCAATCTTGGAAGACGTCAAGGCCGTCTTGGTGGAAAGGATAGCTAACGGTAAGATGAATCAGCTTGACTTCTCCATGTCTCTGTTGTATTCCAGCTGTCCCTCTGGGTGAATTCTTGGATTGGCCTTTTCTTCCTGTCTGGTTCTCAGGAGGATAAATGTAACCCAGATAGTCAAAGCCACGCTGCAACCAATCATTGCATACATTCCACGGGTAAAGCGCGGCGCGAGGTCCGCGGAGTAGAATAGGATGCTCCACCAAGCATTGACGGCATTATTGCCCAGATTCATGCTGGCAATTACAACAGAGCGATGTCGATGCTCTGACTGTCGCATTGCGTCGTTTGCCCATGCAAAGAACGTTGCCTGGCAAGCGTATACAGCGCCAGCCCAGTAGTACGCGCCCATGACTGTTGCGGTTTCGAATCGCGTCAGGATAAGGACCGAAGTGACGATCCCGGTGATGCCGATAAAATATCCCACGAGGTAGCGTTTTCCGCCAAGGTAGTCTGTAAGTGTCGCCCAGAATAGTGTCGAGATAATTCCCACCGCAGGGACTCCAGTGGGATAATTATTGAGCTGGGCGACGGAGTATTTAATGGTAGGATGAGCCTTCATGTACAAAGACAGCAGCGAGTTCGACGAAAAGGATTCTGTCTCGCCTGCAATGACCCAGAGGATGACAAAACCCCAGAAATACCATGTCGTAAAGAGCCGTTTCAAGAAAGCTTTGTTGATGGGTGCAGGCTTAGAATTGCTATTCGGCAAACGGGAGAGGGCCAGAGCACGATCCGACGGTGTCAGGTAAGGCGCCGTCGTAGTCGCCGGAGTGTCAGGAAATAGAAATAAGCCATAGAGAGCAATAGGAAGCGTCATTAACCCGTCAATCTAGACACGTCAGTTTCGTCCGAGTCCTGACAGCAGCTTGGCGAGATAGCGGGCTTACTTACTATAAAGAGCCATCGCCATCCAGACAGTCCTGCAGCGCCATCCAACGACGAATGGATTCCCGTTTGGATGAAGCCACCGAACATCTGCCCCGCGAGCCCGCTTGCTGTGAAGATCCCACTCCTCTTGCCTAGTTCACGCTCGGTGTACCATGAACCCAGAATATAATGAGTCCCCGAGAACGTGGATGCTTCGGCTAATCCAAGGAAGAAACGGATTGCCATTATTCCTTGGGGGTTGTGCACAGCTGCGGTGACCATGGTCAAACCTGGACCGGCAATTAGCAAGCTTCGAAGTCACAATAAAGTAAACTTACAGCCCCAGAGAAGGACCATTGCAGGAAAATAGATCCTAGGTGGCAGGTAGGTTAGGGCCAAATTGGAAGGAATCTGTCCCAAAATATACCCAACGGTGAAAATCGTGTTGATTTGGTTCAACTGGTTGCCTTTGAAGGACAGCTCCTCCTCCATGCCAGAGACATAGGCGTTGGTGAGGTTGGAGCGGTCGAGGTAGTTGAAGAAATAAGTGACGCAGCAGAACGAAAGGATGAAAAAGTCGATTTTCGTGAGGAGCTTTGCCTCTGGGTCCTTCGCCCACCACATTTTGTACGGCAGAGTCGGAATACCCAAGCTGTGTTGGAGAGGTGGAGGATTGTAAGCTGGATGAGATGGGTTCGCCTCCTATTGATTGCAGATCAAGACATTATTCCACTAGGCAGATACTGAGTTTGATGATGCAACATGACTACCACCTCGGTATTGATAAACGGTGATCTCCCTCAAGAAGCTGTACTCGGACAATCCACGAAAATCGACTGGTGGAGCTCGAATTACTTTCTGCCTAAGGCTGCAAGGCAACAAAGCCAAGCTTCCTTGGTGGCACGTGCACGGCTGGGCCAGGCGCTCCTTTGACACTTTTGTTCCGCTCAGCCCGTCCTCTGCTCTCGCTCACAATGTGTTTTCTCAATCTCCTTCTCAATATACTATGCGGTCATCCTTCAGTCCCTCTATTGATGTCGCCGTCGCTGGAACTCCGGGTTCCTCTCAACTAGTCGCAACCCCACGACCAACCGACACCCTCGCCTTGCAACTCCCCGATCGCAGCCGGGGATGAAGCCCTTCAAGTTGCCCTGGAGGGCCAAAGAATCATACTTGGTCGCGAATGAAAAGGAATACGTAACTCCGGAGCCGTCGCCGCCGCGGATGACGCCATTCAGATTACCCTGGATGGTCCCAAAGACCGCCAAAGAACCGCAGTTTCTTCCCGATGAAAAAGACACCGTGCCTCCGGAGCCGACGCAATTCACCTTCTGTTCCTCGACCCTCGACGGCTCGCTCCAGGCTTCAAGTCTGTCGGACCTCCAAACGCTCTACGAACCACTCAACGAAATACTCGATGACGAGCGGCAATACAATGGGCTGTGGTGGCTGGACGTGACCGCACCGTCGGAAGATGACATCGAGACGCTCTCTCGCATATTCAACCTCCACCCGCTTACAAACGAGGATATAAAGGTTCGGGAGAATCGGGAAAAGATCGAATTGTTCGGACCATACTACTTCCTGTCCTTGCGGCCGGCCCGGAAGGTGGAAACAGACGAGGGAGTGCGGACTTCGCCGATAAACGTTTACGCCGTCGTGTTCCGCGATGGTGTGCTCAGCTTCTCCATGGGGAGCAATCCCCATGTCGGCCATGTCCGGAACCGCATCAAGGAGCACCAGAGTCATCTATACTTGACTAGTGACTGGATTTGCTACGCGCTAATGTACGTTCCGACCCTTTGCATAAATGATCGTTCTAATCCTTGACAGCGACGACATCGTCGACGGCTTCGCGCCTTTCATCAGCCAGGTCGAGCGCGGAGTGGAAGCCATGGAGGATAGCGTATCCATCACACGCCCGGACGACATCGGTCTCGCGCTCCAGCAGATCTACCACCGCCGAAAAGAAGTCCTCCATATCCGCCAACTCCTCAACGACAAGACAGACGTGATCCGGTCCTTTGCGCGCCACTGCGATGCCTTTGGCGCCTCTTCTTCCCAGGTCGGGCTCTACCTCAGCGATATCCAAGACCACGTCTTGACAATGATGGCGAACTTGGACGCCGCGGAGCAGATGCTGTCCCGCGGCCAGTCAAAGTATCTGAGCCAGCTGTCGTTCGACTCGACGCGCATGCGGAACCAGATCTCGCACGCCCTCAGTCGGTTGACGGTCATCGCGGGCATCGTCGTGCCTCTGCAATTTGTCACTGGTCTGTTCGGAATGAACATCAATGTCCCGGCGAAGTCGGACAGGGTGGACAGCTTGACGGCGTGGTTTAGTATTCTTGGTGTGCTGGTCGCCCTAATTGTACTTTTCTTTGTCATAGCGCGGAGGATTCGTGTGCTTTGACTATATGGTCCTTCGCGGCTAATATCAAATAGATACCTTTTCTTTCTTGACTCCATTGTGGGATTTGTCGCGTTGGATGTAGTACTTTTTTTGCATCGTAGCGCGGACTGTGTCGAATCTCGTATAGAGGCGCGAGGTCCCTGCCACTGGAGAGCTAAGGTAAAGGCATAGGGAGTTACTGCCAATGATCTTTAAATATTTATTTATCCCGGTTGCTGAATGCGGCACGGCAAAAACTGCAGGGTTTATTGCGGGCGAAACCACTGTTGGTATATTTGTTGAGCCGGACAGCATCTAAATATATTTTCGCAGCTGAATTCCCGTTCGCACTTGACTGCTACCGAATCCTCACAACAACCACATTCTCCTTTTTATATCCTAACATACAACTTTGGACCTGACTCCAGGGACCAAGCCACACTCCTGACATTCCACAACTGGGGACTGTCGCCCGTGTCAGGTCGCTGGACGGCGGACGCGCTTTGCCCCGAGATGCTCACGTGACTGATCGATAAGAACGATGGGCTCGATCCTCGTCACTCTCGATCAGGATTGCAGAATGGGGGACACAATTGAACTTCTTCAAAAGTCCCGGGTGAAATGGTCCCTTCGATGGCTCTACGCGCCATGAGATACCTTAGGGCGGAATAATTGTCGATCCGGCCTGTTTAGCCTGGCTCTCATAACAATGCGGGGATGCGACCGACGAGCCATGCTGAATCTCATCTCAGTCTCAGGCTAGACCCGACTTGCGGTTCATATTCGGAAAGGCACAGAGAATCAGTCCTGCAAGTACGAAATCGCTCAATTTCTATTAAAGTCTAGATACTGGAAGAAAAGCAGCAAGATTGACCAAAACTCCAGCACAATATCGTATCCGAACCAAACACTCGGAGAAGATGACGGCGGAGCTAGTCATGGCCGATTAGCGAGGAATCCCATTTCCCTCCACCGTTTGATGTATTGCCTCACTTCCTCCGCGGTGACGGGTCCCTGAGCAGCCATCGCAGCCGAATGCTGCTGCGACAATGTCGTATCCAGAATCAACCCACCGCAAGCCATGTGCTCAAAGTCGCGCGTGAAGAAGTCCATGATCTTAGCTGCGGGAATCTCACGGTCCCGGTCCAGAGGCGAGGAGCGCAAGAGGTTAAGGAAGTCTTGATACGGGATGACTCTATCCGACGGGATGTTGAGAGCTGATGTGATGACCGGGGTCATTTCCTTCCACGGCTGCCCCACGGGATTGTCAATGTGGTAGACCGGGTATGCGTCGTGTTCGCGCTTGTCGAGGGAGCTCGAGTCGACGCCCGGGAGAAGCAGGTCACCCATCGTCTGGGCGACCGTGTCAACAGGAACCCAGTGCAGGGGTCCGTTGAGATCCGGCCACGCCTGGAGCGTCTGGGCTGTCTTGATGAGAAGCGGCATGTGCTCTGAGTGCGGCCAGATCCCCGCATGCCTGGAGCCGGTGATTTGGCCTGGCCGCACGACCATCGGCCGGAAGTGGTCGGGGTAGCGGTGGAGCGTTTCGTCGAGCATGCGCTCGCATACCCATTTCGCCTCTGGGTACCCGATTGGTAATGAAGAGCGGAGGTCAACTCGTTGCTCGAGCACGCGCTGCTGGGCAGCGGACCCGACGACACTGATCGAGGACACGAATTGGAATCCGACGCGCATGCCATTCGGGCTTAGGTTACAGGCCATTTCACGCGCGAGGTCGAGCAGATTTCGCAGTGCCTGGAATTGGGGTACGAATGTGTGGATCGGGCGCGCGAGACTCATAGGCCACGCATTGTGCACGATGTGAGTGGCGTTCCGAGCGAGCCAGGTGTATTCGTCTGCGGGGAGACCGAGGTGCGGCTCGCTGGTGTTCCCATCCAGCATGCGAAGCTTCCTACTTTCCGCCTCTGTTAACTCTAGCCTGCGCGATGAGAGTGCTTCGCCTTGTCGAATGGAACCTGGCGTGTTGCTGCGCCGGTTCAGACAGACAACCGTTCGTACTGCCGGGTTGCGGGCGAAGCTTGCCACTAGATGCGACCCAAGGCTGCCAGTTGCGCCGGTGATGATGACCACAATTCCCTTGTGGCCCTGCGAGGCCAATCGCGACGACACCGGGGGGATAAATCCCGCCGTGTATCGGGCCACATACTGCTCGGCAATCTCCTCGCGGTCAGTACTCCGACTTGGCAACTCGATGTTTGGCTTTTGCGGTCTAACGAACGTATCGTCGCTTTCCGCAAGGGACAGTATCTCGGTTTCATCTCGAGAAGAAGGGATGATGAAAGGTTCCCGGAAGTCATCAGTCGACGAATAAGCCACAGTAGGCGTTGCTGGGTTTGATTCGCCTGACGAGTCTGTCTCATGTGATGAACCTTGGTTGTCGTCGGAAGTGGAAAAGCCAGACAGTGAGCTTGAAATATAGCTAGTCAACTTCTCGACGGTGGTAGCTTCCAGCAAGTCGTTGTGATCCGGCGAAAACTTGAAAACGCCCTCAACCTCTCGCGCGAGTTCCATGGCCATCAGCGAGTCGACGCCCAGGTCCGAGAGCTCCGCACTTCGACTGATCTTTGCCGGCTCGATGCCGCAAACGCTGGAGAGCAGCTGGCAAACTTGATCTGTTATATCAGGCTTCTGAACCGATTTGCGTTTTCTGGGGGGTTCTGCCATGGTGATTTGCTGTTTCGTGCTGGAAAGTGGGCTTGGTGCTTGACGGGTAGGCCCCTTCTCCCGGACGGTTGTATCGGGTTGGAACTCGGAGAGGATCTTGCGCATGACCGTCTTCGGAATCCGACTAAACTTGGTGCCCATAATGACTTCCGTTAGGGCACCGGTGCGAGAGTCAAAAACAAACACGTCCGTCAAGTAGACCTTGTCGGAAACACGCGAGTGACGAGCAAGAACATGCCACATATCGGGGCCTTCGTCGCCCTTCTCCTTTGCATCAGCAACGCTTGGGGAGCGCATCCATAGCTCACATCCCGTCGCGATGAAGACGTCGTCAGGGCTGCGGTCTGTCATACAGCTGACCCAGATACCTCCCGTCTGCATGAAACATTCACTCAGCGGCACATCGAGCCAAGTGTCATGAGACCTCTTGCGCATCACGCACCCAGCGCTCTCGTTTCCATGTCCCACGAGCCGACGGAGACTGCGGTAAAGCGGAGTGTAGGAAATGACGTCGCTGAAGCCTTGGTACACGTTGCGCCCTTGTAGGACATGGATCTCATCTTCCATGCCGACAGGCGTCGCACCGGCCATTGCTAGGAGATCCGTGCATTGGCGATGTGGGACGAGGCGTTCAAGACGCGAAAAGTCAGCCCGGTAAATCGCGTCCTCTGGAGAGCGGATATGCAGAGAGCCCTTGACGTGAAGGAGGCTGGAAGTGCTGCTCTCGCGGGTGCTCGTGATGTTCCAGTCCCATAGTCTTCGTGCCTCGTCCGAGGCAGACAACTGTAGCCAGAATTTGCGGTAGGGATCAAGACAGACGGGCGCAGAGTTGACCATGTCTGTCAGCATGGGCTGGAGCCGTTCCGTTTTCCATTCTGGATGCAGGCTGAATAGGGCTTCGATGGCCATGTCGACCTCCAAGCCAGCAGGGCAGATTGCCGCCGTGCGGGCCATGACGTGTCCCTCGACCATGGCCAGGTATTTTTCGGACTCGCTATTGATTTGGAATCGAGGTCGCCTCTCGTCGTTGTCCTCATAGCCAACAAAGGTCCAAAGACCGTCCGGCTTTGGAGCCTCAGCCTGCTGCATCGCGCCCTGGTCTGTTTTCGGAGCAATGATATCCTGTCCGTGACGTGTCTTTGCAAACTGGCGCGGAGGGAGAATCAAGTGCGCATACTGGTTCATCTGCACAGCGTGGTGCTGCCAGAATGACACCCGCAAACCCTCCTTCCACAGGGAGAGTGTCGTCTCAGTCAGACTGTCGGAACCTCGACCGCCGTGCGTGATGTTGAGAGCCTGAAAATGGTGCTGCGACTGTCCCACTATGTCGGAGGTCGGACGAAGGGCCCGGCCTGCCATTGTGGTAATCGTCGAGTTGGAACCCGCCTCAAGCCATATGCTGTCTGGATATGCTCTTGCCAGACGCTCAATGGCATGGTAAAAGTATACGGGCTTGCGCAGGTGGTCGGCGACAAAGGTGGCCGATGGCCGTGCTCCAGTCGATGGCGTGGACGACGAGTGCTCGATATGGATGGCGGGGGAGTTGAAAGTCAGTTCTTCTCCCAGGCGCTTGAGAGGCTCGACAATGCCGTCGACAAGGCTACAATGAAAAGCGTTTGTGACGTTCAGCTGCTTGTGGCGAATGTAAGGGTACTTGCTAACCAGGGTTTCTTTGACACCCTGGATGGCAGCGGTTGACCCTCCAAGCGTGAAGCTCCGCGGGCCGTTGTAGCACGCAATGGACGCAGGATGACTGGATTTTGTCTGCTGCGATGCGTCTTCCAGGAGTTGGTGGATGATGCTCTCGTCGCCTTCGACTGCCATCATGGCACCTCGGTCACTACCCCATTGGTCGCGAATGAGACGCGCACGACCAGCGACGAGCTTGATTGTATCCTGGACGCTGAGAACGCCCGAGATGCTCAGGGCAGTGAGCTCGCCGAAACTGTGCCCGACTACCGCAGCGATCTTGGTCGAAACGCCGCAGTCTAGCCAACAACGCGCACAACTGTACTGCATTGCAAACAGCATGCATTGCAGTTTGACCGTATCCTGTACGGGACTGCTAGCGAATATTTCCGGGTAGATACTCTCCAGGCCCATGCTCGTCATTGCCGCATCGCATTCGTCCAAATACCGGCGCAGGAGACTGACACTATCGTACACCGGACGGTTCAGGCCAACAAAGGTCGAAACTTGGCCTCCAAAGCAGAGGATCACAGGACGCTCTGCTGGAACGACCTTGCTGCTACCATCGGCTGAAGCACCTTGAGAGATCATGGTTTGCAGCTCCGATACCGAGCGACAGCTGAAGACGAATTGGCGGGCTAGCGTGCGCGTGCACTGTCGGCTCAGGTTGAAGGAAAGATCATCCAGCTGTGTTGACGGCCGCGTCCGAATATACTCAGCAAGACGAGCACAATACGCGGTGACTTCTGCGTCATTTGTGCCCGAGATCCAGAAGGGGAGAGCTAAGCCATCGCTAGTTGCGCCGTGCTGAGCCCGAGGGATGTGATGCTTTCGAGGCTGCACTACTACCATTGACGTGTTGGACCCTGACGCTCCGTAACTGTTGACCAACGCTGCCTTTTGGGGTGAGTCCCAAGCGCGCAGCTCACTGGAAATGCGGATCTTGTCTGTCGCAGCAGTGATCCGTGGGCTAAGTCGAGTGTGACTTGCTTGCGGTGGGATGAATCCTTCGTTCATCATTGTCAGCACTTTGACCAAGGAGACAACCCCAGCCGCTGCTTCGGTGTGTCCGACATGCCCCTTGACGGAGCCGAGAAAGAGGGGGCTCGGCCGCTGAGCAACATCAAGGGCCTGGGCGATACTGGCGTATTCCGCTGGATCACCTACCGCAGTCCCGGTCCCGTGGGCCTCGACCAGTGAGATATCTGCTGATGTGAGGCCTGATTTGGAAACGACCTGCTTGAATAACGGGGCCAACGAAGGCTTGTTGGGAACAACCAAGGCAGTGCAGTTCTGGTTCTGATGCACCGCTGTTGCTGCGATGCAGCCGAGGATTTGATCGTTATTGGCCACCGCGGCGCTCATCCTCTTCAACATCACGCATCCAATACCTTCCGACCGGCAGTAGCCGTCTCCTTTCTCGTCGAATGGCTTGCATTGACCCGTGGGGCTAAGGAAACTAGCAGCGGCCAGGTTCTGAAACCAGAAAGGACTGCTCATAACGGCGACGCCACCGGCCAGGGCGGAGGAACACTCGCCGGCGAGGATGCTCCGACAAGCAAGATGGATGGCGACCGCGGAAGACGAGCAGGCTGTATCCAAAGTCAACGCAGGACCCGTCCACCCGAACTGGTGAGACACCCTGCCCGCAAGGAAGGCCCGCAGATTCCCCGTGGCAGTGTACGCATTGGGGTCATGGCATGCGACATGCTGGTCGTAGTCGGTTGTGGCGATGCCAACAAAAACGCCAACCGAGTCTTCGGGCAGCTTGGTCTCGTCGTGTCCTGGCTCCGTGAAATACCCCGATTGCTCAACCGCCTGATATGCGGCTTGCAGGAAATGCCGGTGCTGCGGGTCCATGGCGGCGGCTTCGCGAGGGCTCATCTTGAAAAAGCTGTGATCGAACTGGCTGCGGTCCTTGATGAGGTTCGAGTACCAAGTCCGAGTACCTTTGTCGGTTCGCCAGGGGGTGTTGAAGTTAATCTCGTCTTCCTTGATTGCCTGATGCTGCGATTTGCCCGTTCGTAGCATTTGGGCGAATTCGTCCAAGTCATCTGCTCCGGCTGTTTTGATCGACATACCCACGACTGCGATCATGTTATCTTGGTCGAGGCCAGCGAAGGCGTTTGGTTCTTGCTGGTGTCCGCTCTTCATTCGCCTAGCCAGCGATGGTGGGATGCATTTCTCGGAACCGAAGCATACTACCCGAGGCGGATCTGATGTCTCCGGATAGGCAGCGCTGAAGGTGTCATACCAGTCGCATCGCTGAACAAGCATACTGCGCACTGCGATTTCGTGCAAACTCAAGTTGCCAGGGTTTGCGTAGGCTAAAGACATGGATGGCGTGGAGGCATATTGAAGCGCAGGCGTCCGATCGCATAGATCGACCAAGGCGTCAGTATATGCCTTCCTTGAATCCGACGGATCATGGAATCTTCCCTGCAACCGCACCTGGGCGACTGTGAGCCCGTTCTTGCGCAGCTCCTGTGCTAGCGCTGCTGCGGCGCGCCCCGAACTCGTGAGGGTCGCCCGTGCACGATCATATTGAACCGAAAGATAAACCTCTGGGTGCCACTGCTTGAGGATATCCTGAAGTCGTCGCTCTTGGTCGTCACTAGTCCACGCGATTGAGTATGATACGGACCGTCCGTTCCCAAGCAGCTCCTGCCGGGCCTCCTCTGCGTCAACCAGCGCCCCGACCAACATGGCCAGCCGCACCGCAACGGGGCCACATGTCGCCAGGTCTTCAGCTGTCCGTGAGCTTGCCACGGCGAATGTGCTCAGCAGTCCGGTACAGAAGCCAGTGGCTGTTGCTTTATCGATGGGTTGATGCTCTGTCGCGAGATAGTGCTCGTATTCGGTCAGATGCGTTAGGACAACAAGCGGCGTGAGTATGATGTTCGATATGTTCAACTCGTCTCCGACATCACTGTCACCATGCTCCAATAGCCGGCTCAAGTCCTGGAGTCGGTCCTGAGGGGGAAGCACCTCGCTGAGCTCCGGCAGTGCATTGGATAAGATTGTCCAGAGCGCTGGGAGCTCCGCGATCGTTTCCTGAATCCACCGTCGATGGCTGCTCCGGCTTATGTCTTGTCGCAATTTATTTAGGGCCCGTTTGTCAAACGAGAGACTCTGGGGGCCAAAGGCCAAAAGGGTATGACTGGAGCCCTGCATGATGATGTTTCACAGGAAGAAAAGAACGGATGGATGGCAAGCTGTCCGGTCACAAAAGAAATGGTACGAGGGTTCGTCGCAGGGTTGACCTCTCCTAGAATGAATCGCATACGCTTTATACGAGGGTCTCGCGTACGGTTTGGCTGCTGTTTGTCTACGCCTACAGGCTCGCCTTCTTCAAGCCCGATTGGAGGACCGGACTTCTGTTGGGAAATTGCCCGGATATGGCCTGATCTACTGATATGGATCGAAAAGGAATAGCCGGGTCGCCGGTACTATTCTTGAGACGGTGATCGAGTCTCGCAATTCTTTTCCGCTGAGCCTTTCTCGATCCAGGGATACACGGTTGCCGCTGCCTACATGGAAAGTCCTACGACACCATTAGCGCCTGATAGGAATGCACCTCTACGACGTGGCTTCGCATGGTTCAATACAGTTCTGCTTGTGGGCCAGGTCGGTTCTGCAATAAGGCAGACCGAACAATCCGGGCTCCAAGATCTGACAGTGATCGCACGCGATAGTGCTTGATTAGCAGCCAAGCTTAAGGCCAACGGTAGGGACGCATCGGGACACCGATCTTCCTGATTCGGACATCTTGCAGCCATCGGCCATCCTGCGATCCATTGAATAACAAGACCGGACTTATTCAGTCGCCGCAGTTGCCTCACGCCGATCCAAAGCCGATGCACATTACCGGGCCTGCAGATGCAACTCAGCCTCAGCCGCACCGATCACGATTCGAATTACTCCGGACGATCCGCCCATGATCTCTTTCTGATCCACCCCGACACATTATCCCAATACGGACTGGAGGAAAGAGCGTCAGGCGAACTTACCTTCCTTCAGCGCGCGCTAATCCCAGTATCAACTCAGCAAGCGACTATAAATGATGGCCTGGACAAGCCAGGACCACGAAGCCTCGACCACTCACCAACCGATCGGTGGTAAATCCCTGCAGGATGCGTTGCACAGCCCTTCTGCCGCTCGTTTCGTCTCTTGCCATACCCGCGTTAGCCCAGCTCACTGGTCAGACAGTAAACGCGACAATCAACCAAGGCCGCTTCGGAAATGCCACGTACGACTACGTAATTGTCGGCGGCGGTACCTCTGGCCTGGCCATTGCCGCGCGCCTGGCAGAGGACCCGTCAGTCAGTGTTGCCGTTGTTGAGGCTGGGGGGTACTACGAGCTCGACGGTACGATCGCGAGTGTCATCCCCGGCCTTGCAGCTGGAGCCAACGTTGGGACTGATATCACCGACCATTCCGTGGTTGACTGGAACTTCCAATCGCAACCTCTTATAGTGGGTTTCGTACAATTTTGCAAGCGGACTGAGGCTGACGCACTGCCTAGTCAGCGCACAATCGATCCCTTCGCTATGCACGTGGAAAGACGCTTGGTGGCTCGTCGGCTAGGCATTACATGGTGTATCAACGGTGAGACCATCGCCTTACCGGATAGAAGCAACAACTGACTCCAACCAGCGGTACGAAAGGCAGTTACGACCAATGGGCCGAGATGACTGGTGATGATTCGTGGGAATGGGACGCGGTCTTCCCCTACTTCCAGCGGAGTATTAACATCACTGCCGCCAATATGACATCGCGCTTCCCCAACACCAGCGTTACCTACGACCCGGCAGGTTTCACGCCGTCTGGCGGTCCACTCCATGTGACATGGCCCAACTACGGATCACCGTGGTCCACCTGGATCGAACAAGGACTGGAGGCAATCGGAGTTCTTCCTGACACCGATTTCAATACTGGAAGCTTGAACGGCTCCTCATGGGCACCTATTACCATCAACCCGCAGAGCCAGACACGCGACTCGTCAGAAACCAGTTTTCTTCAGCAGGCGTTGCAGAACACCAACTTGACTGTATACCTCCACACGATGGCCCTGAAAATCGGCTTCGATGGTACGACCGCATCCAGTGTCGATGTGAGGAGCTCTGTAGGAAGATTTACGCTCCGCGCACGCAAGGAGATTGTCTTATCTGCAGGAACCCTCCAGTCGCCACAACTACTCATGGTTTCTGGAATCGGGCCCAGAGAAACGCTGGAGAGTCATGGAATTCCCATTATCAAGGAGCTTGCCGGTGTAGGCCAGAACATGTGGGAGCATTCTTTCTTCGGCATCACCCATCAGGTCAACCTCGTCACCGCGACCGAACTGGCAATCAACCAGCAAGCCTTGGTCCAGGCGCTAGCTGAATACAAATCCCAACAAGGCCCACTCACCTCAGCCGGATTCGGTGTTCTGGGCTGGGAGCGACTCCCGAACAGCACGTTCTCCCAGAGCACCAACGACGCCCTGGCCGCCTTCCCGTCTGACTGGCCGATGATCGAGTACCTCAGTATCGACGGCTATCTTAACGGCTGGCACAGCGCAGCAGACCAGGTTGTCGGCAACGGGCAGCAATGGGGCACCATCGCAGCTGCTCTTGTCGCACCGTTGTCCCGTGGAACCGTTACCATCGCCAGCGCGGACATGGATGACCCGCCTGTCTTCGACCTGGGCTTCTTGACCCACCCGGCAGACCGCGAGATGGCTGTCGCGGCAATGCGGCGGATCCGACAGGCGTTCGCGGCCGTTAGCAACATTACCATTGGCCCGGAGACCGTGCCGGGGTCTGGTGTCGAGACGGACGAGGAGCTCCTCGACTTTATCCGTGAGACTATTGTTCCCGTTTACCATGTCGCTGGAACCAATGCCATGGGGAGAGCGGATGACCCTAATGCTGTTGTCGATTCCCATGCACGGGTTATTGGGGTTCGGAATCTGCGCGTTGTTGACGCGAGTATCTTCCCCACGCTGCCTCCGGGTCATCCGCAGAGTACCTGCTACATGGTTGCTGAGAAGATTGCGGATCTTATGAAGAGTGGTAATTAGCTTGTCGCAGGCAAGGCGTAGAGGAGCGGAGATAGTTTACTTCCATTGTGCCTGTACCCATTAATCATAATTAGATCATTCCATTCGGACACTCTTTTACATTGAACCTTGACTTCTTACTCCTCAACTTCCCCGAGCACGTCTTAGACGCTGTAACCTCAAGATGATGGCTGCATAGCATTACAGTTAGAAGTATTGGATTTCAACCACCAGCATCCCCCTTCTCCCTGATTAGGAAGCCTCATAATCCATGGATCCGACCATGGATGAATGTGCACATGAACTGTACAAATGCACATAGGCTCGAGCATTCATTGGAGAGATACCTATGTATTAGTTCGCCCCCAGTAGATATGGTATTCTGTAAGAGTCCTAATCCTCGGTCTCTGCCCTGGCCATCAGTAGTCCTCGCAAGGTATGCCATCTTCGCAGCCCAGGTGAGGCTAGACTAAGTGACGCATTAGGCATTGATAGTCCATGAACAAAGCAACAGGATGCAGTATTGCCCCAGTAGGTCAAACTCTCGTCTTTGAGTTCTTTGTCTGCCACGGCTCCAGGCGTTTGGGGCAATCTCTCCAGCTGTTTGGTTTGGGCGCAGGCTCCTCCATTTGCTCCACAGACGACGATCAGGTGCTCTGCTTTCTACGTGTTTGCCTCGCTGCTATATTAGCTGGTCGTCATTCCATCACGCATCACCTCATGCCGTGGCTTCAAGCTATGATCCTCCAAGCTGACACTCCTCATTCCACATCGTCCTCGACTGGTATAGCCTCGGGTTATCTTTTAGTCCTACGTTGTCCCCTTCAGTTGCCTCTCCGTATCGTCAGAGCCGAAGGCAATATCTTGTCTTTTCTTTTTTCGGCCATCCTGCACCCCACAGCGCTGAGCAACCCGGTCGCGAATAACTCCGGCATCCCGACGCCTTGTGTATATCGGCGATACCCTCATACTCCTCGGTGTTGACAGCAATCCCTAAATAGCCCTAGTCCCTTAACACACCAATCCTACAGGCATAAAGATACGAAGACACTCCTCCTGGACCCGCGTCTCCTTCCCATCCAATTCTCCACCCATCACAACCATGTACTCCAAGTCCTGGATCCTCAACGCCCTCCCGGCCCCCCTGGTCCCCTACTGCGAGCTCACGCGCGTCGGCTACCTCCCAATCGGCGTGCTAGTCTCGTACCTCCCCGTGCTCGTGTCAATCCTGCACGTCGCCGCCGTCTCAGCGCTCCCGCAAGACCGTCTACTCGATTCCTGCCTCCAATGGCTGCCCCTCTGCTACGTGTACAGCGCCTACGGGTGCGTCGTCGACGACATCGCAGACCAAGACCTCGACGCAAAGGTCGAGCGCTGCCAGCACCGCCCTCTCGTCCGCGGCGCCGTCACCACAAGCTCCGCGTCCCTCTTTGCCGCGGCCCTCGCCTCCCTCGCCGTCTTCCTGACGAGCGCTTTCTTCCCCGACCAGCCGGCCGCGCATATCCCCGTCGCCCTTGCCGGGTCGGTGATCTACCCGTTCCTGAAGCGCGTGACGAATTTCGCGCTGCTGTATCTTGCGTTCTTGTATGTGGCGACGGGCTTCAATGCGTCAAGGACAGTTGGGTTCGATATCCTGGACGCCCCGGACCATTTACTGGCAAGTAACATCCTCCTTGCGTGCGGTGTGTTCATCGCAAACGTCACCGTGGAGACGATCTACATGCACGCGGACGTCGAAGACGATATCAAGTCCGGCATTGGGAGCTTGGCGGTGCGGATCCAGGGGTATTCGAAGGCTGTGCTGTTTGCTGCGGCGTTTGCGTATGGGGTTCTTGTGCTGGGGAGTGGGGTTGCGGCGGAGTTTGGGCGGGTGTACTTTTCTGGTGCGGTGATGAGTGCGCTTACGCTGGTGACGATCGTGGCGAGGGTGGATTTGAAGGATGGGAAGATGTGTGAGACGTTCTTTTTTGGGGGGAATGCGGTTGTTATGGGTCTGCTTGCTGGGGGGTTGTATGGGGAGTGTGTTGTTTGAGGGATGTGGGTATGGGGGTTTGCTCGGGATGATCTGGGTTGGGGTCTGGCTGGTGAAGATGTGCAGGCTGGAATATCAATGGCCTTTTGGATGGATGTTGTGTTGGCAGCGACTTCAAGCGCGTAGAGAGGCGGTTGCAAGGTTAGGGCTAGAGGCATGGCATGGATTGGTTCTGGAGGATTTGGCTTGGATTAATCTGCAATGTTTGTTCACACTGAGTCCACGAGACTTGTTTGTGTCAACATATACAATCATACTGCTGTGCTTGCATGTTGGTTTCTGTTGTTTCCCAGGTACCATTGTCCTGGAGGGACACTCATGCTACATCCCTATAGAGTTCTACGTTGGAGCTTGAGCATCACACTTATCACTGGGACTGTCCACTTTGGCATATACGGTCTTACTCTCCACCTAGCCAATGTGTATTGGATCTAGATGGTTATTATTCCATGCAGATTACAGCTATTCGACACCGCCAGACTATAAAAACCAATTGGCTATAGGCCCGTCCCTATACTCCAACAACAGCGTGTCTGATTACTCGTGATGCTTGCGGACAACAATATATATACTGAGGTTTTAACGTGGGGTACATATTACACCATCACTTCTACAAACTACTACCGTCAATGATAGCAATTGCGCCCACATATTACGCACACCAAGTGTTGCTACCCATCTTCTGGTAGAGAAATGGGGATTCCAGACTATTGATCGCTCTGGCTCTGGGAGACTCATACCGCCGGCGGCCTCGAATGCTGCATCTAGGACCCGAAGGATACGCTCAGACCCGCAACCAGGTTCCGGACCAGACGCACTGGACCTAGTTTCCGAGCTGCAGACCGCCAGGCACCGGCACCAGCTAGCCGGTTGCGCATGGCCAAGCTCATCGGATGACCGAAGATCCTTGAGACCCCGAGAGCAGGATCGCCGAGGGCAGCGTCGGGCATGTCGATCAGCCGGGCGTGGATCAGAAAAAGCAATGTCTCCGTCATACAGTACTAGAGATGGGCTGCCTCCGGAGTATGCTAATTCAAACCCTAGGTAGATGAACATGCCCGACGGCGCAAACTCCGGGCCGTGCGCCATGCGCCGTGCCCTGGGGCTGGTTTTGGTCACCGGGGGCATTGCACAGATGCACTGCGTCAAGAGGGGGTTCTTTGAGTTCCGGCTCTGAACTAAGGCTGAGGGCAAGGAACGTTGTTTTCTCATCCTATCTCGCACTTCTCAGATTTGTTTCCTTTGCTTCTGCTTCAGGTTTGACGGGAGAGTTCCATTGTCGTTCAAGATACCGGTACTACCCTAATGACCATGGGCTCAGCGTGGTCCTCACCAGCACAGAACCTCGAAGAAACAAACCACCTCTCACACCTCTTCAAACAGGACATGGAGGACGATATCCAGAACGACAAAGCGCCCGAGTCCTTCCCAGAAGACTCAAACAAAAGCCAAAGTGAGGCCTCGACTGCATCCAAAACGACAAGCACACCCTCCTCAGACCCAGACCCAGACCCAACCCCCGCCACCATCGCCATAATCGGCGGCGGGATCATCGGCCTAATAACCGCCCTGGGCCTGCTCGACCGCGGCATAACCGCCACCGTCTACGAGCGCGCGCCAAAACCCACCGAGACCAGCGCGGGCTTCACATTCAGCGCCAGCGCGCGCAAGGCAATGTCCGCCGTGTCGCCGCGGGTTCTATCCGCATTCCTGCGCGTCGCGGCGCCAAACGAGCACCCGTTTATCCGGTACTTTGATGGGTACACCCCTGGGGAGCATGAAGCATGGGCGATTCCGGCGGAGAGGCCGGATTACTATGGGTGTTTGCGCGCGGCGTTCCTGGAGAGTTTAGGAAAAGAAATGCCCGAGGGCGCTGTGAGGTTTGGGAAGAGCTTGGCGGGGTATCAAGAGATTGATGGGAAGGTGACGTTGGTTTTTGGGGATGGGGGTGTGGAGGTTGTTGACGCTGGTGAGTCCACCATACACTGACTGCGCAAGGGATCATGGGTCTGCTAACGAGGCGCGGCAGTCATCGGCTGCGACGGCATAAAGTCACGCACGCGCCAGCTCCTCCTGGGCCAGGACCATCCCGCCGCCCACCCCGGATTCACAGGGGTAGTGGCGTACCGCGCGGTCCTGCCGCTCGAGGGCGTGGTGCGCGCACTTGGGAGCGACAAGGGGCTCAGCCACTGTCTGCACGTCGGCCCGGGGGCGTACACGGTGACGTACCCCGTCGCGCACAGCCCGCTGACCAACATGATTCTGTTCTGCAAGACAGGTAGGCCGTGGACGGACAGTACGAAACACCTGCAGCTCTGCCAGCGGTCGACGGCGCAGGAGGCGGTTCAGGACTGGAAGAGCGACGTCCGCGGCGTGGTGGACTTGCTGCCTGAGACGCCGAACAAGTGGGCTATTTTCGACACGGCCGAGCACCCGGCGCCCAGCTATGTTTCGGCGTCTGGACGGGTGTGTATTGCGGGTGATGCGGCGCACGCGAGCACGCCGTTTCTTGCGTCGGGGGCGGCGATGGGCGTGGAGGATGCGGCGGTGTTGGGGGGTGTGCTTGGGGCTGCGCTTGGGGCTGTGAGGGGTGGAGGGAAGGGGATGGGGGAGGCGATTCGGGCGGCTCTAAGGACGTATAGTGATGTGCGGATGGAGCGCTCGCAGAGGGTGGTTAGGGATTCGCGCGCTGTGGGGGAGGTCTGCATGTGGCAGGATCCGGAGACCGGGAGGGATGCGAAGAAATGCTTTGAGTATGTTTGGACGTGTATGACGCGTGTTTGGGAATTTGATATCGTGGAGACGGTGGAGAGGGCCAGGGGGGAGTGTTTGCGTATGCTGGGGGAGATGGAGGATTAGCCCTAAGTCCGTATGTTTACTACCATATGCGTAGGTACCTATAGGCTATGATGCAGCGCCACAACGCAGAGCTTACATGATGACGACATTATAGTCTGGAGATAAGAAAGAGTTCCCAAGAAATGCGACCGTCCAAGAAACTGGAGCTGGAGGAAGAGCCATGCATGACCGGAATGTTCTCCGGCCGACCCCCTTGCCCCCTGCACTTGTCGCTGAGCTCGGACACGTCAGACGTGTCCAACCCCCGCCAGGAATGCTTCAGCTTCGTGGTCTGCAGCAGTCATCCTGCCAGGAGTAGGAGCCTCTACTGCACAGCCCGACAGCCTGATCCGGGCTCCGGATGCGTCAGTGTCTGAAACTACGCCGGAGATGCCCAATCTCCCGGAGCCCCGGAGTATCTGATCGCTGTCCGAGGCGCATTATTGCCTGCTAGCGCCACACTGGCCTTCTTGCTCGAGATCTGCGCCCGGCGCTCTGGCCGATCGGTCCAAGACGCAAGGGGCTAGCCTGGACGCTGCGTATATATGAGCTGGCTGCCCCCACGCTGACCTGTCACTGACTTTGTTGTTGTTGCTATCTCAAGCTCAATTGACTTCAATATCGCATCATGGTTTTCGGATCCAAAGCCCCGGCCCTCACTGAGGCCAATGTTGGAGATCAGTCTGGAAAGGTACCTCCCCTACCCCCCT